TGAGGTTAGGCGCAGGGTATTAGGTAATGATGGTAAATCAGTTGATGAGGTTGTGAATCTTCATCGACTGAGATGGTTGGGCCACGTGTTGCGCATGCGTGAACACCGATTACCACAACGTGCAATGCTAAACGGTGTTGGGGATGGTTGGAAGAAAGTAAGGGGCGGCCAAACCAAAACGTGGCATCAGTGCTTGAAGTCACTAACTTTAGTCTGAGCCATTTTAGGAGATGCAGACTACTTAGTTGAGGTCCGCGTGACTATCGTAACCAATGGTTGAAGACTCTTGGTGACATGGCTCAGAATCTATCACAATGGCGTCGGTGTATACACTCCCTGTCTTCCCTCAAACTAAGAGATTAAAATCACTTTCTACGAACTAATTCTTTCTTCCTGTACTATATCCTTATTGCAATCTTTCTTTTATATATTACCATCATTGACTTAACCACTTCTATAAATCCAGTGTCCATCTTGGTGTGCTAATGCGGTATGGCAACTAGGACCGATGCATATATGTGCCCGGTCCTACGTTGTAGCTGACTGACAATGAGGCATCAAATAGATATGCGCCACATAAATCGTTCGATTTGTGCGAGGGCTAGGATACTGCTCGGTTGCCCAAACCAAAGCAGGTGGTTTTCTTAGAGGGCCACCTCCCCCCGAGTCTTGAACCTGAAGTTCTAATCCATAAGGCAGTGGGGAAACATATGGAGATGCAGTTTCATGTTAGCCGGTGATCAATAATAGATTCGTGCGCAATTTGTTCCTTCAAGATACCGGAACTGATATACACCATTGGTTTGGAATCAGGGTTTTTCAAATCCCCTAGGTTAACTCTCCTTGTGCATTAACCTGGTTAAAGTGCCGGACATTCGCTTTTCGTCTTCACAACTTCGTAAACAACACCCCATCGAAAAGAGTTTATAATTGTTTGTTAAGCATTTAAGAGTAATTAATAAAGAACATATCATGAATTAGGGTGTTAGTAATTTTTGTTTGTATACTTAACTTATTTCTTATAGGTGATCAGTCACAGTTCAGTAAACAAAGTGATATCTTAACACACTGCATTGTTCGTTTTTTTATGTAGTTATGTATGCCTCACAATTTATGTGTTACAGTTAGAGATACTAGTTAACTACTTAAACGGAAACAAGTGGTGCAATGTTAAAGCCATACTATCGTGTTCTGTTAGAATTGTATGAACAGTTCCTCACAATATGGAAGAATACTTTTGGATGGACCTGACAAAGGTGGATCACTAGTGAAGTTAGTGACAGCATAATCGTGGGGATAATTGCTTGAGACTAGTTACCTATGGACATTTTGTGAGTTCTTGAAGGGCTGACTCCGTATTTTGTAAACCTTGTCGCCGGCGATGAAAATGTGTGCGGCGAACTAAGGTATGCTATTTTTGGGATCGGTCTTCCGTAACCTCCCATTTTTAGGAACGCAAAATTGCTGCAAATCCTGGTTGTCTGAAGGAAACATCCTACTTTTTCCACATTCCAGTATAATTTGCACTGGAACTTCACCATAGAATCTTAAACTTCTGCTTTCAGTTCGAATGTTCTCCAGTCAAGCTTTGTAGTATTATAGAACTTAAAAAGCAAGTGTCCGATAAGGAATTCGAACTACTACTTCAGTTTAGCAGCTACACTGATTAAAAATCAAGATGGTTGACTAGGGACATTCAGTTAATTAGGTTCGTTAAGTGTAACAAACTTAGCATAAATGTTAACTGCACTGAGTTATTCCTTTCGAAGAGTTATTTAGCGGTAGAGATGTATTTGAAATCGTTTGGAACGTTGAAATAGTTGACTCGAAATGAAAGATGAGTTTATTAACGTAAAAGGTTTGCGCAGAATTGATCATAGTTAAACAATCTTGATTAATTAGAAATTATTAGGAATCATCGAATATCTGCCTTGTCTTAGTACATAACTCATCAACAATGTGTATTCACACTAGGAAGATGATCAAAATCTATACAAGTATCTATCTCAGAAAGGGGAACAACCATGTGATAATTTAATTTTGTTATTCATATATCGTATAGACAATAATAATCACTTTCCCTACTAAACCAATCATCCATTACAGTCATTTTATTTTCGAAAATCAGGAAGTATTTTCCGTGAGTTATATGAAATACCTCCCATATAATTTAGGAATTGATAATAACTAGGTACATCCGGCTGGCGAGTCCCAAATAGGACGAAACGCGCATCCTAAATATCAATGGGAAGATTCTAGTAAACAATGTTAAGTGAATTTAAACTCCACCCCATTGCACAAGCAAGCAGCAATCAGTAGCTAAGTGGATAACGCGATGATGTTTTAAGTTAACGGTACTGAGTTCAAGTCCCAGAGGGAACATCAACAAGTCACAGATGGAGGTACATCCAGCTGATGACTCCCAATTAGGGTGAAGCACGCGTCCTGTATTCCATTGTTAGCCCCTACCTATCATTGCTCACAAAGCTTGTGACTTAAGGCAATGTCGAGGCAATCCATACAGGATGCACCTATCCCAATAAGAGACTGATCAATTGTAGTCTTAAACATCAATGAAAAGATACAAGTAAATAAGTAGTATGTATTAGAAATAAGTAGTATTAGTATTATCATTATTACAATATTTATGTGCATTTTCTTTTCTGGAAAATTGTAATTTAGGAAGACTTTTCATTTTGAAAAAAAAAATAAACATCATAATACCAGACACAAAATATCAAACGAGTAATCAACAAAATTCTATTTACATTTAGATACGTAAAGTAAACCACAACAAGAGTTGGATTAAATTGTCAACAATAAGTAAGTTCTTTCTTTCTTTCTTACTATTTTCTTTCTTTATATCATTGAACACATTGAATTGGTTATAATGATTGAAATGTATATGGGTTATGGTTATCTGTTTATGTATATATGTATAGAATTGCACGCATTATCTATACTCAATTCTTACAAAAATAATAATACAAACCAAATAAAGTTTAATTTAATAATGTATGCAAATAAAAATAAGTAACAAGACAGTATCATGTAGATATTTGAAGAAGAAGAAAAATAACTACTAGTACTACTACTGATATAAATGATAATAGTAGTCGTAGCAGTAGTAGTAGTGGTGGTGGTGATAGTAGCCATAGTAACAATAAACAATCCGTTTTAGATTTCAATTCAAAAAAAGAGAAAAAAATAATTGTGCATGAATTGGAATTTTATTAAATTTTGTATTCTTGATTTTTTATGGGGGGTTTTTTCTTTTGTTCTTGTTGATAGTACAAACAAACAAACAAAAATTTCTTTTCAATTCTCTTCTATCAGGATAATTGTTTTCTTATACAATGTATATAATGAGTAAATCTGTAATAGGATAGAATAGTTGATTAGAAAATAATACATATGAGATGATATAAATTATAGAGATAAGTGTTATTACTTTTCATTGTACATTCAAAATTGTCGAAGTGTATTGTTGAAGAGCCCACTCACTCCCATTATACTAGGACGAAACGGTTATCCTGCGCTTATAGTTTATAAATAATAGTCTACCTAAAATCATATAGTAATTAAAACTAATGATAAGTCTACAATCTTCACAAATCCTTATATACTAATTAATAATTATGTGCTCATTAGTTTCTAGCTTCAAGATGAAACTCTTAAAATTCTAGCAAGATGCAGTGACTAGTAGAGTTCAACCATGCTGAGTGTGATACGGTTATTTATTGCAGGTAATAAAAGATAGTCGCAGAATATTGTGAAGTGATTTGAGTTGGACATTAATACCATTGGATACTGGCTCAGTAGTTTATAGGTTCAGCGTCCGTGCAAGGAACTTGAAGGTCATGAGTACGCACTACTGAGGAGTGCCGTACCATGATCAGGTGGCCGTCTATCTCTTCCAAGTTTTCGACGGTGGTTCAGCTAATATCAATTTATGATTTTAAATAAGGAAATATCTTAAATAGTTCGATGTTAGTGTCTTTGACCATGGCACTTAGTGATATGGGTTTTTATTTTACAAAGAACCAGCATGATGGCTATATCTAGAACTGCAGTCAGGTAATGCTAGACACAGTATACTCTAATTCGATTATACGACAATAAGCACCTACAACGCCCAACATATGATTGAACCTGACAGTTAAAGTACATTACTTTTCATTCATTATTCAACATTGTGCATTTTCAAAATTCCTTTCTTACCAGTAGACCCGAAATTCTCAGATTCAGTACTGTGTACGAAATCATTGGTGCGTACTACTGAGGAGTTACAAGATATCATGAAGTATTTTTTTGTTCAGGGATTGAATGAATTTGAAAGCATTAACCGTCGAATTCTAGATCACTAGCTTAAAAGTGTTGTGCTCCTTTCGATACTTGAGAGTCTCCACCTCAATCTCGTGTAGGATCATCAACTCACGCTTCTTATGGTTCTCAAAGTTGGCAGTCATATACAATAATAAAATGCTAAATTGTACGCATGCATATTAGCCTCTTAGATATAACGTTTACCTCCTAAATATTATCATCTTTTCAATTAGAGTGTATATTAAAGAATAATATTAGTAAGCAAATCATCAAAAATTAGGAAGAACAAATCCACTACATTGGCTATATTCTCACTAGTGACTAATTTCAACAGGTACTTCTCGGCGCCCAACCATTTCAGATGTGTGACGTTCGCCTACTAATATCATTGGAAGATGATGGTTTTGTAATGTCGTGAATCAATTAAAGTCAAAAATGTAAATCGTTGGATATCGGCTACGTGGTCTAATAGTTAAGCACTCAATGTGAGGTCCGCAGGTCTTAGGTTCAATGCTTGACAGGGTCATGGATGAGAACTGTTTGTCGGTTCTTTACTAATATACAATACCTGTCCAGTACCTCCTAGTGTACGATGGTCAACTAACGCAGGTTAGTCCATAGTGTAAGATAAACGCTCATTGACTTACCATGGCAAAAGCATATTACCAGTAAATCTATTCATCTTGTATATAATCCATAATGAATGTTTCATCATCGTCTAAATCATCTTCATCGAATAAACGTCTTGCATCGGATGATAAAGACAATGTTTCAACACTACTATTTTTTGAATGCGATAAATTTCTTGCCGATAAAGCACCCTTCACTTTGGTTGTTGTTGTTATTGTTGATGATGATGATGACGGCACTGTTAACGATTCTGATGTTGATGTTAATGATGAATAATTTGCAGGAATATCAACTGATTTAAACGATGATATTGATTTATTATCACTATTGTTATTATTATTATTATTACTATTATTGGAAAAGATACTTGGTGATGTAAGAAAGTATTCACTGCCAGCTTTTTTCATAATTGGAGATTGTTGTTCTTGATGTACTGTGACAGTTGATAGTTTACGTTTATTCTCTTTAAGTCGTGTATCCATTTCATGAATACGAAAGTGTAATCTTGATTCTAAATGATAATTTTTATAACTTCTAAAAGAATAAATAAAATAAGAAACATGAATATCATTAGGTGAGACTATCATTTATGAACGACTTATAAATGACGCCAAAATGACTTGGAGTGTATCTACCTAGTTACAAGATTGAAATTAGGGTTATAAAACAGTTTGATAGAATATGGATTATGGTTGAAAGTAGTGGAGAAGATTTGTAGCTCAGGTGGATGATTTTGATGAAGTTTTGTTCTTTGAATTGGATGGTTCGGGAGACATAACCAAAACAAAGAAGTAAACAATGAAAAATTTAAGGTCAATAAGAACCAATCAACATCGAGGTGTACAGAACAAGCTGTGAAACGTATATAGAGAAATTTGAACACTTCACTTCTATCTGAAGTTTGTGCTGATGATGTCGTTCAGAAGAACGATGAAAGCTCCGCGACCAAACCATCCACCTCAGAGAACAAAACTCCATCAAAATATGATTGAAAGTTGATAGTTAGAATTAAGAATAAGATTTACGATTTTTCATCACAAACTAATATTCGCTTAAATGTCAAAACATTATTTAGCCAAATGGATGAATGAATTTCGCGCCAAAATCAAAGACTCATTATCTTAAATCTGATTGGTTTGTTCATAAATTATAGTCTTGCTGTATCAATGTTAAACGTGGAATTAATTTGATACTCTTTAAGTAGTTTTGTGATTACAACATGACATCATGAGGTTTTGACCTCGGATAATCAATAGAAATAAGGTTTTAAATAGATATTCAATAGAAATAGTGGTTGAAATATTACATTCTATGGAGAAATGTTACATAATATATTAGTATCAGATGGGTTTTGTAGAGATTATAGTAATTTCAATGGCTAAGATCATGAGTCATTTGAAGCTAGATCACCATGGAGATTCGAACCCAGGACCTACTGGTTTTACTCAGTAGGTCATGGATGCGCACTGCTGAGGAGTCCCACAATAGGACGAAACGGCCGTCCAGTGCTCCCAGGTTTTCCATGGTGGTCTAGCTTCAACTGACTCATGATGTTAACCATTGAAACATAATATATTAGCTCAAACTGAGACTTTCTCCATTTACATCTTGCATAAATAATCTCATCTATCAGTCACTATGAATACTAGTCATCACTTAAAGTTTGTATATACCTGTAAATGATTTATTAATTAGTCTATCATCTTTCCTATTGGACTGTAGAATCCGAGTTAATGTATTCTTAGATGTAACACTGTGATACAATTAATCAAATTGCATTAGTCACTATTGAAATTGCAATTAGTAATAGATCAATAAAAGTATCTAACTAAAATTTAATGAAAAATGCATTTAAAGGAGTTTACAATGAAATTACAGGTAGTTTTATTTTTATTCTAATTGATCATCTCAACCCTGATACGGCTGAGAGTGAGGAGAGCCAGCTCCCCTTCTCTAAATGCCCTCACATGGCCACGCGTATACATATACTGACAGGGAAGTTCAACTCACTGCCTTGTCACAGCACCAGTGTTCTTTACGTAATTGTGAGGACGAAAAGTGGATGTTCCGCGCTTTAACCAGGTAAGTGCACATGGATGATTCAACTAGAGGACTTGTAAAACCTTGATTTCAAACCATTGGTGTACATGGGTTCCAGGATCCTGATGGAACAAATGGCGTATGAACCAATGGTTGGTCGCTAACTACCATGAGACTACATTTCCTTACGTTGCTCCACTGTCTTGTGGATTAAATCATTAGGTCAAAGACTCTGGATGTAGCCTTCCAAAAAAACCACCTGCTTCGTTTAGAGCAACCGGTAAGTATTACAGCCCACACACAAATCAAGTGACTTATGTGGGGTGCATATTTATTCAATGCCTCCTTGTACCAATATTTATGTGTTCAAATAAACAAATAAATAACAATTGAAGTCATCAGAAGTTAGAAAAGAAAACGTTGCTCGAAAATGAGATCTCACTTATTAGTCTACCAATACAGAAAAAACCTCTTTATTGTACTATATTACCGTCGTAAATCCTTTGAAATATCATCAAGGCATTTCAGTTCACACAAAAACTATTCATTTGTGAGATCAGTTAGATCAATAGTAACTATAACGAATCATATATAATACTAGACAATTGTTCCATAATCCTATGAATTGTGGAATATCTATTATTGAACTACTATTTAATAACTAAAGGAAAACATTGTAGATCTAAGATAATGAGCTATTCAATTCAATTCTTCAGAGAATTAAAATAACCTATTGGTACATTGATTAACAATAAAGAGTATTCAATGAAGAAAATTTTCTCCTCTCGATGAAACCATTTACTTAAGCTGTAGTTGTATGGTAATTATATGAGTCTATAGAAGAATAGAAAAGGTTGCATCATAAATTGATTTGAGACTTCATCTATTCAACGAGGTTATGTAATAATCGGGGAAGGGGGGGGATAGACATAAAACGTTATATTAATTTAGATTCTAAAGTTTAATGGAATGAGGATGATAGACTATTGAATTATTTATAGGCATATACAAACACATTATCACTATGTAACTAGCAAGTTAATCGTTTTATTGGAAATAGTATTCAACTTACAATGCTTTTTCTAAATGTTTCACTGCTTCATCAATTTCCCCCTCTTCATATGATAAATGACATAATTCCATTTCACAATATGGTAAAAGATAAGTGTCCATTTTTAATTTTCGTTTACTAAACAAACAAAATAATAATCAATCAATGAATTCGAATAGACCTGAGATGATGAAGAAAATGTGTAGCTTAGATGGATGATTTTGATAGAGTATTATATTTTGTGCTAGATGGTTTATTTAATCGTGGACATCATCTCATCATGACCAAACCATTCAGCTCAGAGAAAAACTTCAGTCAAAATCATTTCACAGTATTGCTCTATAGATTAACATAATGGTACATGATTCTATTCCATGTGGGAAACACTTAATCAGTGTATATTGGTTTACAATAACTGTACAGCTAATGTCAGTGTATAAGAATTCAGTCAGTCAGCAAAAACATAGAACTTTGTACCTATGTACGTATATCAGTTCGAGTTGCCATATCACATTAGCTCAGAGATACAATTGTTGATTCAAATCCCGTAGTGGTAAAGACAGTAAAACTTTAGGCAGTAATCGGAACGATTAGGTTTTCAAGATGTTATTCAACGAGTATAATCCAGTGAAATAAATTTGGAAAGAGAAAAGTAAAGAAACACGAAGAATTCAGAATATTAAAATTTGGGGGAACACAAAAAGTGGATGCACCTGTACCATTGCAAAAGATTTTGAAACATGTCATTCAAGGTCTTTAACCATCGATTGTTATCGTCTCGCGGATCTCAACCACGTAGTCTACACCAACCAGCATGACTCAGTCTACTTGTTAAATAATTAAAGATGATCCATAGAAAGCTGTTTAGAGATGTAGTTTTCGTAGTATTTGACACTCACTATCAGAACATTTCTTAAATTTTAAGTTAACTATCATTGCTTATATAATTTGAACCGTCGCTAAATAGTGTCACATTGACTTCTGTAAGAGATTATGTACTGCTAAATACCAACTTGCGTAAAACCTAGATCCAAGGATTTCTGATGATTACACCAACCATGCTATCATTCAATAATAGTTTATATGATCTCAACTCATCTTAATCAGTGACTACAACATAACCATATCGGACAATAACGACTAGTACTTACTCACTTACTTACTTACGCCTGTTACTCCCAATGGAGCATAGGCTTCAGACCCACCATGTTCATCAATGATGCTGCCCAGATATGTAAAGGCTTTTACATCTTCCAAATCTTCTTCGTCAAGCGTCATTCGATTGTTGTATGCTGTTTTGTGTGCTGTTTGAGGCTTCTGCTACAATGACTAGTACTAACAACTAAACAAACATGAAATTATCTTAGTTCAAATCATAAACTGATCTTGTTTGGACTACAGTTAAATATGTGGAAGCACTGGGCGAGCATTTCTTCTCTCATTATGAGACTCCTCAGTAATGCTCATCCTCAACCCACCATCCAAGAATACAATTCATAATATTGGTTCCTTACACATGAATAATAATGAAATATATTTCAAAAATGTTCCGTTGTAAATTGAATTATATAACACTTACGATTGTATTATTTCAGTGAAACACATATAAGCTTGAAATGCTTGACCACGACATCTAAGACAAACTCCTTTAAGCATTAAAGCTAAACAATAATCATCATAAAATGTTTCACTTGTATCTAAAGATAAACATAAACATGATAGATAGATAGATAGATAAAAGGGAAGAATATGTGTAATTTTCAAATAATCTACTCAATTAAATGATCAATATGAGCTATTCCCTTACATATCAGATAAGCTAAAGAACTTTGGGTTTCGTGCTAGTTGGCAAACGTCAATATAGTGTGCATATTCAGGTAACTAGCACTCCTCACAAGATTCAAGCATGCTTCATCGAACCTCATCATTTTAAACATAAGTTTTCAACAATTGAGACTTCTAATAACCAATATTAAGACTCAAATACTTACAACTGAATAGTGACCGATATCATGATTGTCTAATCTTTAGTTTTAATCGGATTTAATCAGTTCAGTTGCAATATGATCACTAGTCATAGTGATACCTTTTTATCAAGCTCCAGCTAGTACGAACTATAGATGTAAGATTTTCTGTTGAGTACGTCTAATCAATAAACATTAAAACATAATACGTGTTAAGTTGAGTCACCCAAACTAGGCTCTTATTACTATTCAGTGATCAACTAGTATAGGAACTGGTTATTATTTCAATATATGACTCTCTTCCTGTAATTTATGCATTTTAACTTGGTCTCCTCAGTCAGTCAATAACAACGTTGAACGTAGAACAAATTTACCTCTTGATACACTTTAACTACTTAGTATTGTTCCACTGACAGTATGTAATTTGATCCAAACTACTATTCCGTCTAATTCATTTGATTGTATCTTCGCATTGTTGCAATTGATCAGTCTCTTCTTGATATATCTGCATTATGTACGGACTATCTCGATATTGTCTTAAGTCACAATGTTTATAAGCAAAGATAAGTAGTGGCTAGCAATGGAATCCAAGACGCGCGTTTCATCCTATTCGGGAGTCGTCAGCTGGATATACTTTATACATTGTGATGATAAAAAAAAAGAGAAAAAATCATCATCTAATTTATATCTCACCTCTATTTTGAAATAATTCATTGATTTTATTCTCACATATCATAATAAATGCTGTTATAGCATCTGGTTGTGACTGAATCATTTTGAATCCATTCCAAATGAATATAAGTTCCTGTGGTTCAATAAAGAGATGAATGACATACCTATTATTTCATGATAAAATATTTTACTACTTAAATGAGAAAAATAAGTAGAATAATTGTGTTAACAACACATCAACATGAAGTTGTAAATAAGTGTTTACAATGTTATAACTTGTACCCTGTGTCTTATTAGTGTATCACGTAATGATACTGTCAATTAGAGAAAAGTGACTTATCGACCGGACCAATGACGTATAAAGTCGTACGAGCAGTTTACAGTCTTTATAGGTTCTTCTACATGTCTAGCTCTGCCTGTTAAGTCCAGAACACAAAGCTCAGCCTCTGCAATATGAATCATTATATTTCAAACATACTGTGTTTATATACAAACCAAACAAACCACAGTGTACCATAAAATAGAAAATACACATTTGTATAAGATTTAGCCAAAAGAGTGACTGTGAATGTGGGAGACTGTAATTAAATAAACTGGGCATAACTCAAGTACAATAACTCGTCTACGGGTCGAAATAAAAGCTTAAAATAGAAGGAATATGAATAGTTTAGGTATTTAAAGATTATACAATTAAAATACATGTATCGTATTAGTTCAGTGATAGATTCCAATAGTTATCATTCATTATTGTCGTCATATTAAGTATAATCATCATATTTTCGGCTTCCATTCATGGCTTATATTTACAAATAATACATTTTGTATAAGCAGCTCAATAATGATATAAATTCTATATTGGTGATAGAATTACTGGTTAGTTCTCAAAATGAATCCCAGAATGCTTCGAACCACATGATGTTTCACCTTACAAAAAAGGGTATCATAAGTGTATAGTATGTGACATTTGAACGTATCTTATTACTAGAGTCACTTCAACTTCTAATTATTTATTTATTTTAACACATAGATATTGGTACAAGAAGGCACCAAATACATATGAGCCACACAGATCTCATTTGATATGTGTGGAGGCTGTGATACTGCCCAAGTGTCCAAACCGAAGCAGGTGGTTTTCTTAGGCGGCCACACCAAGACCCTTCGACCTGGACGTCTGGTCCACAAACTAGTGGAGCATCGTAAGGAGATGCAGTCCCATGATAGCCGGTGACCAATAATTGGCTCATACCCTATTTGTACCTCAGGTTACTGGATCCCATGTGCACCATTGGTTTGGAATTGTGGTTTTCCAACTTCCCTAAGTGGATTCTCCACGTGCACCAACCCGGTTAAAACGCTGGACATTCGCTTTTCGTCCTCTCAATTTCGTAAGCAAAAGGCCTGCCACGAAAAGGCAGTGAGTAGGACTTTCCTGGCAGAGGCTATATACGCGTGGCTATGTGAGAGCATTTGGAGGGGGAGAGAGAACTCTCCTCACTCTCGGTCGTACCAGGGCATTTGGTGGCAAATGTTAGTTAGATTACATTAAGAGCACTAGATATATATAGGAAGGGATAAAATATGACTATTGGGTAAATTAATATGAGTCGTACTGTTTAAATAATGATAAGACTTTCACCTTGGACAATAGTTATTTTGAACTATACACAATATGGTTAGTATTTATCAGAAAATTTATCTAATTTTATTATTAGTCATACTTTTAGTTTCCTAGTACAACGTGAACTGTATTATAAAAATAAAGGGAAATATTGATTGAGATCATGAACTAACGAATGTTAGGTCACCACTGAAAACCTTTAAACACTGGATAGAAGTTTTGTCCTAGTATTGGACTCTTCAGTAGTGCATATCCAGTTCTTAAATGAACCAGAAATATATCACAAAGTCCAAGTCATCACAATGACTGTTCAGGTAAGATCTAATGGAATATAATACATTATTACTTATAATTATTAAATTATAAATTCCAGTATAAACCTACCAAAGCTGGAAGAGTTAGTCTTTTATTTTGTGCAAAATATCGTGAAGACTTTCTCAAAGCAATTTTTTCAATTGGTAATGATCGACCACCGAAACGTTTGATCATATGCGGTATATCTCTACAAAAAAAAAGAAATACATCTAAATTTTTACAAGAAATATCATGGCAGGTAAATTACTTGAACAGTTTGACTACTGAAAGTCATTATTATCAAGAATACGTGCTTTACATTATGAATCTTATTATTTTATTTAAACATATAAACATTGGTACAAGGAGGCTCCAAATAGTTATGCGGCACATAAATCATTCGATTTGTATAAGGGCTGGGATACTGCCCGGGTGCCCAAAACGAAGCAGGTGGTTTTATTAAAAGGCCACTGCTTGATCCTTTGATCGAAAGATATAGTCCACAAAGTAATGGAGCAACGTACGAAGATATAGTCCCATGGTAGCCGGTGATCAACAATAAGTTTTTTCACCATCCTGGAGCCCTTGTTCATCACTGGTTTGGGATCAAGGTATTTCATCTCCCTTAGGTGGATCCCCCGTATGTACTAATCCGGTTGAAGCGACGGACATCCACGTCTCGTCCTCACAATTTCGTAAGCATCACTGGTGCTGTGACAAGACAGTGAGTAGAACTTCTCTGTCAATTGTTGTATACGCGTGGCCATGTTAGAGCATTTCAATAGGGAGAGCTGACTCTTCTCACTCTAGAACCTATTAGGAAATTTGAGGGCAAATATGAATCAAAGTCTATTGTAGTGCCACAATTAAAAGCAGGGAGTACTGCATCGACATTTTATTTCACTTTAAAATTCATCAGTAATAGTTCATATTTACAAACCTTTCAGTGATAAAATCCAAAACACTCGTACTTTTAAAGAGAGGCTACAAAATTCAATGGTATTCTTTAACTAATTCTTGATAATGCTGGAAGATCAATTATACAAGGAAAGAATAAATGTCTAATATTCAATTTTAAGAGCTTCTTCGATTGATAACAATAGATGATGTAAACGTTTCTTGATCAACTTTATCTCAACAAAAACTCTAGACATGGCAGAAGGTTAAAAAGATCGAACAAAAGAGAACGAGAACAACGAATAATTGATGTGGAAACGAAAGAACAATGAAGTTTGAAACGATTAATTAACATTTTGCAAATGATGTATCTATTGTATGGTTCTCAGATTTTACTAAGAGATTCTGTAATTTGTGTATTCAAATATATTCGATTGTCTCGCACTTGTGTTCTCATTCACTACATAAGAGTGTTTATAGCATCATACATTAATCATGACTACTACTTGTAATGTATTAATACTACAGACGAAATTCTTGAAGTATAGAATGATATTTACTATCAATAACAAACTGATCTGATGTATCGAGATAATGTTAGTTGTGATTGATCAGTGAGTAAAAACAGACACAATTGGATACATCATGTCTATTAAACTAATTTTATAGTAGAAATCAATTTTTCTGTTATTAATATCTGGTCCGTAAGAAAACGGTCAGACAAATGTGGTTGTCGTTGTGTTATACGACCCATACTCAATGTATAACACCATCAGTAGTGAAACACAATGTACACACATGACATTGATCACCACCCAGTGATCAATCAATTATGAATACATCTCAGTCCTACAGAAGGTCAGTCACGGCCAGGATAGCCTAATGGTACAATCTCTGACTGTGAAGCTGGGTCACACGTGGTCGAATCCGTTAGGGAGCACCAGTTCCCTCAAGATTACAGGTACACCATGTTGACGTGTGTCAGATAGCACGAAACCCGGGTCCAGGGTTTCCTGTTGACTCCCTCAAAGCATATCTTATCCCAATATAGTGGACGCAATGTCAAGTCATCTACACTAGTGGTTGCATTGCAACTTGGTTGATACCATTCGATCTACACTAAGAAAGACCTGACATGCATGACATTGATCAGCACCTAGTGATCAATCAATTGTGAGTAGTGATACTATCTTTATTTTAAGGAGTTTTCGAATTCTGTCATAAAACATTATTAAATCAAGAAGAAGTTTAGTGAATCATTGTAATAACTAACTAATGTTGTACCTATCATATTTAAATAACTAAGGTTCAGTCAAACTGTCCATATATATTCTAAATTCAGTCAGTATATTAACATATTGCTATGATGTTTCATGCAAGGGCCGCATTCCTACAATTCAAGAACATATGGAACTCAAAACAACTTTCAACCAATATCAAAGTCACAATCTTCAATACGAACGTCAAGGCAGTTCTACTACATGGAGCTGAAACTTGGAGAACTACAACAACCACAATCAAGAAAGTACAAGTATTTATAAATAGCTGTCTACGCAAGATACTCAACATCCATTGGCCGGATACCATCAGCAACAGCCTTTTGTAAGAGAGAACAAACCAACTTCCATCTGAAGAAGAAATTAGGAGAAGACGTTGGAAATGGATAGGACGTACACTACGCAAATCATCAAACTGCATCACAAGGCAAGCCCTTACTTGGAATCTTGAAGTGAGGCGGAAGAGTGGAAGGCTTAATAACACTACGTCGAGAATCGGAAGCAGATATGGAAAGGATGAATAACAACCGGAAAGAGCTGGAAAGGATAACCCAGGACAGGGTTGGACGGAAAATGCTGGTAGTCAGCCTTTGTTCCTTCGCGAGGAGTAACAGGCGTAATTAAGTAAGTATGATGTTTCATGTTATCGTATTCTGTTCGTTCTGTTCACATCAGTACTAGTCCCTAATATAAGAGAAGTGATATGGATAGACATAGTATTCCCACTTCATCTCATGAATATTAGTACAATCATCATAGTTTATCTGTAATAAAATGGTTATCAGTAAAGATCTTTAAATATATGTAAAAGGTTATCAAGTTTTATTATTCTAACTAAAATAGATAGAAAATAAAGAAAACTAAATGGTTTTAATAGATGGTTACTATTTCATTCATTAACTTCGCCTGTAGCTCTTCCAGAGTTATTGCCGGTCCGAAGTCCGGGTAAAAGAAGGTTGAGCATGGGGTTAACAACCCCATCCCGTGAATAAACTAACTCGCTGACCAGAAAATAAACTATTTCATTCATTTTTAAGGTTTTCTATACTTTGAATCAAAACTTGATTTGAACTTGAATATTGATATAAGATTAAGTTGAGCATTTATTTAAAGTTATTAAAATGAAATGTAGTTTACAAAATTACTCAGTATCTAAATAGATAACGAGATGATGTTTGAAATGAACGGTGGTGAGTTCAAGTCCCAAAGTGAACATCAACTCGGAGACATAGGTATATCCAGCTGACGAGATCTGAATAGGACAAAACGAGCGTCCTGTATTCTACTGTTAACCATTATCCATTTTTATCAAATCAGAGAGCCTATAAATTTTTGGATAATGTGTTTAACTAAAGAATCTATTTGATATCAATAACTTACGTTAATAATTGATCAACCACTTCTTGTGGTTTTTCAATTACACCATCATGATTTTTCATTTCATATGCAGTACGATCTTCTATACTTTGTAAAAGGAAAGCTGCTTTCATATATCTATAAGATGCTTGACTCCATCGACTTTCTAATGCTAATTTCTCTGTGTATAAAATTGCTTTTTGCCAATCTGCTTGTAATCTGTAAATATGAAATACAATGAATAACATCAAGTTGTCCTGCTTTCAGCCATTTGAATAATCAGTCTTTTTCCAAGAAGAATATTCGAAAGCGATAATTTAGATCCAAATTACCCAGGTTTCTGTTAGTTGAAATTAGTCATTGAAGTGTATCTTCTACTTTCCGAAATCCGATACTTTCTATAGAATTCTAAGGATAAGATTATCATGACATTGGTCACTGCTTACTAATCAAGCAGTATTTACTTGATTTCTATCAATTCAATTCTTTATATAATAAAATATTTGTTGTCACGGAAAGCAAAAATTGATATCAAGTTTGTGATTGAGATCACGGACCGATTGATGTTAGACCAACGTCGGAAACCTTGAAGCACTGGACGGCCGTTTCGTCCCATTGTGGGACTCATCATCAGTGTGCATCCACGACCCCGCTCACGGAATCCGAGACTGAAGGCTCTGAGTTCGAATACCGCGAGCGGGATACTGATATCAAGTTTGTTTTCAACACAAAGTCAGTTTCATAACAATTGTTTGCATCATATACTGTTTTCAGCTCCATAACTTTGCATTGATCTACCTTTCTTTAGTCTTTCTACGAGTTACTCCAAAAATAAGCAATGGCTTGAAATGTCTGTACCACATATTGAATCGATGAGTTTTATAGCCTAATTGATCACAAAGCTTTCAATAATACAAAGGTTGCCAAACTTCTGATACAATTTCAAAGAAGGTAGATAGAAATAAAGATGTCATTATCGTCATTACAATATCGTGTATGTTATTGAATGTATTCTCTATTCACGACTTCATATTAGATCATGCTTACATCCTAAATCCAGTGTCCACCTTGCTGTGCTAATGAGTTATTGCGCCTTGGACCGATGCATATATATGTGCCTGATCCTACGTTGTAGCTGACTGAGTCGACTATTACCATTAAATTCATTTACTGAATATTCAAAAAATTGAATAAACGAATTAACCATAAACATATTCTGTTTATTTGATTAAACTAATCATTTGAAAATTCATGATAGATTTTGTTGTACACTAAAAGCAGACTGATCAATTTAACAATTAGCATCACTAACTTTATTCTTGATCAAAAATGGAGATTATTCTACTATTCACTATTATACAATCTCATCAAGTTATTGGTCAATAGTTAATTAACTTAACATATTTATTATACTCAATTGATGATATTCTAAGTTTATAAAATAAGTGTATTACAGTGATTGTTGAAACTTGTTATAACTGTTGGCATGTGTGCCCCGGTAATGGATAACGTAATGATAAAGCCAATTAGAGAGCAATGAATTATCGTTCGGACCAATGACGTATAAAACACGCACGAGCAGTCTACAGTCCTTCATGGTCCTGCTTCTTGATTAGCTCAACCAGTTAAGTCCAGAACACCAATCTCAGCCTCTGATATATGAATCGTTTATTTCAAGCGTACCATAAAATAGGAAATAACATTTGTAGAAAATCTGGCCCAAAGTGGATGTGAATGTGGGAGATAGTAATTGATTGACTACGTATAACTCAAGAATTGTCAATCGTATAATAATAGTTCATAGATCAAAATAAAGCTTATAATAAGAGGAACATGAATATGAATAGTTTAGTTACTTAATAATTATACAATAGAAATACACGTTTAGTATTGGTCCATAAATGGATTCCAAAAGTTACCATTCATTATTCTCATCGGGATATAATAACAAAACTATTATAGATACCAATGATGTACATTATTTAGATGTCGATTGAGTGGACTGCTAACATCTAACTGACGATCCCTTAATATTTAGATCATGAACCGATACACATTAGACCACCATCGAAAACTTAGGAGCCGTTTCGTCCTATTGTTGGACTCCTCAGCGGTGCACATCCACGATCCCACTCGCGGGATTCGAACCCAGGGGCTTCAGTCTCGCGCGCGAACGCTCAACCTACTAGACCACTGAGCTCGATTCCACGGTATACCAATGATTGTGATTTTCAATAAGATTCAGAACATATATTTTATCACCTTACTGAATCATTCTATACTTGTATGTAAATACATTTAGCATTGATACATTCTAACAAAGATTGATTGAAATTTAAGCCTAAACATCAAATGTTTTTCAATATCTTACTTCATTACTTACGCCTGTTACTCCTCGTGAAGAAGCATAGGCCGCTCACCAGCGTTCTCCATCCAACCCTGTCCTGGGCAATACTTTCTAGCTCCGTCCAGTTGTAATTCATCCTTTTCATATCTGATTCTATTATCCGACGCAATGTGTTCTTTGGCCTTCCTCTTTTCCGTTTCCCTTCAGGATTCCAAGTCACGGCTTGCCTCGTGATGCAGTTTGACGATTTGCGTAATGTATGTCCTATCCATTTCCATCGTCTTTTCCTAATTTCTTCTTCAGCTGGAAGTTGGTTTGTTCTCTCCCACAGAAGGCTGTTGCTGATGGTATCCGGCCAATAGATGTTGAGTATCTTGCGAAGGCAGCTATTTATAAATACTTGTACTTTCTTGATTGTGGTTGTTGTAGTTCTCCAATTTTCAGCTCCATGTAGTAGAACTGCCTTGACGTTCGTATTGAAGATTGTGACTTTGATATTGGTTGAAAGTTGTTTTGAGTTCCATATGTTCTTGAATTGTAGGAATGCGACCCTTGCTTTACCGATCCTCGCCTTTACGTCTGCATCGGATCCTCCTTGTTCATCAATGATGCTTCCCAGGTATGTGAAGGATTCTACATCTTCCAGAGTTTCGCCATCAAGAGTGATTGGATTGCTGTTCTCCGCTTTGAATTTGAGGACCTTAATTTTCCCTTTGTGTATGCTGAGGCCTACTGATGCAGAGACTGCTGCTACACTGGCTGTCTTCATCTGCATCTGTTTTTGTGTACGTGATAGGAGGGCTAGGTCATCTGCGAAGTCCAAATCGTCTAATTGATTCTGAGCTGTCCATTGTATTCCGTGTTTTCCTTCAGATGTCGAGGTCTTCATAATCCAGTCGACCACCAGGAGAAAAAGGAAGGGAGAGAGTAAACAGCCTTGTCTGACTCCGGTCCTTACTTGGAATGCATCTGTCAGCTGTCCTCCATGCACTACTTTGCACTGTAGTCCGTCGTATGAGTTCCGGATAATATTGACAATCTTCTGAGGAACTCCGTAGTGTCGAAGAAGTTTCCATAACGTCCTCCTGTCTACACTGTCGAATGCCTTTTCATAATCAATGAAGTTGATGTATAGTGATGAGTTCCACTCAACTGATTGTTCGACGATGATCCGTAGTGTTGCAATTTGGTCTGTGCATGACCGATCCTTACGGAATCCAGCTTGTTGATCTCGAAGTTGGGCGTCTACTGCATCCTTCATCCGGTTCAGCAACACTCTGTTGAAGACTTTCCCTGGTATTGACAGTAGTGTAATGCCTCTGTAGTTTTCACATTTGCTCAGATCTCCTTTCTTTGGAATCTTGATGAGGTGTCCTTCTTTCCAGTCCATCGGCACTTGTTCCTCCTCCCAAATCTTTTTGAATAGAAGATAAAGCATGCTTGTGGTTGTTTCGATGTCTGATTTCAGTGCTTCAGCTGGTATGTTGTCGGGTCCTGCTGCTTTCCCGTTCTTGATTTGTCTGACGGCCATTCTAATTTCTTCCGTAGTTGGTGGATTGACATCTATAGGAAGATCTATGTGTGCTGCTTCGATGTCCGGTGGATTCATTGGAGCCGGCCTATTCAGGAGTTCCTCGAAGTATTCTACCCATCTGTTACGTTGTTGTTGAATTTCGGTGATTGGCTTGCCTTCTTTGTCTTTGACCGGCCTCTCTGGTTTACTGTATTTCCCTGATAGTTTCTTCGTTGTATCGTAAAGCTGTTTCATTTTTCCTTCTCTAGCAGCTTTTTCTGCAGTCGTTGCTAGTTCTTCAACGTATTTCTTCTTGTCGGCTCTAATGCTCCTCTTCACTTGTTTGTTTGCTTCTATGTATTCAGCTTGTGCTTGGACTTTCTCTGCTCGTGTTCGGCTGTTGTTTATTGCTGCCTTCTTGTTCTTCCTTTCTTTGATCTTGTCCACTGTTTCTGTAGAGATCCATTCCTTATGATGGTATTTCTTTAGACCGAGAACCTCTTGACACGTTGAAGTTAATGCTTCCTTGATGCCTTTCCAGTTGTCCTCCATAGTAGTTTCTTCTTCTTTCAGTAGATCTCGTAAGGCTTGAAACCTGTTGTTGAGAGCTATCTTGAATTCATTGAGTTTGACAGTATCTCGAAGGAAGGCTGTATTGAACCTTTGTATTACTGTTTGTCCACTTGTCCAGTTCTTTTTTAGCTTCAGTTTCAAATTGGCTACAACTAGGTGGTGATCTGAAGCTACGTCAGCATTTTTTCAATATCAGTTCATTGTTAAAAATATTTATCCCCTAGTAGATCAAACTCCGCCTGTAGCACTTATAGGGTTGCTGCCGGTCCCAAGCCCGGGTAAAGGAGGAGGGTTGGGCATGGGGTTAGCGTCCCCATCCCGTAGAAAACTAACTCGTTAAAAAAACGCTTACCAGAAAAAATAATCCAAACCATTTTAACTCTGCCCTGGGAGTTAGAAGGTCTTCATTTAGAAGAATTATGACGCTTCATGGTGAAAGCCGAGTTCCTTCGGAAGCCACGAGGCCGATGCCCCTTCTAACAACCAGAGCAAAAATTTTTATAGGTACATGGAACGTTCGAACAATGTGGGAAACCGGGAAGACCAGTCAAATATCAATGGAAATGAGGAGATACAACTTAGCAGTACTGGGAATCAGCGAAACCCACTGGACCCAAGCTGGACAGAAAAGGCTAGCTACGGGAGAGATGCTGCTATACTCCGGTCACGAAGAGGACAATGCTCCACACACTCAGGGAGTCGCTCTTATGCTGTCCAAAGTAGCACGAAATGCACTTGTAGGATGGGAATCTCACGGATCCAGAATCATCAAAGCATCATTCAAAACAAAGAAGGAGGGGATCTTAATGAATATTATCTAATGTTATGCACCCACCAATGATAGAAACGACGACATTAAAGATCAATTCTACGAGCGGCTGCAGTCAGTGATAGAGAAATGCCCAAGAAAGGACCTCACCATTCTAATGGGAGATCTAAATGCCAAAGTCGGAATAGACAACACTGGATATGAAGATATTATGGGACGACATGGACTGGGAGAAAGAAACGAAAATGGAGAAAGATTTGCAAATCTATGCGCATTCAACAAATTGGTCATAGGAGGCACAATATTTCCACACAAGCGTATACACAAGGCTACGTGGATCTCACCGGACCACACTACAGAGAACCAAATAGATCATATTTGCATCAACAAAAAATTCCGAAGGACAATGGAAGATGTGAGAACCAGGAGAGGTGCTGACGTAGCTTCAGATCACCACCTAGTTGTAGCCAATTTGAAACTGAAGCTAAAAAAGAACTGGACAAGTGGACAAACAGTAATACAAAGGTTCAATACAGCCTTCCTTCGAGATACTGTCAAACTCAATGAATTCAAGATAGCTCTCAACAACAGGTTCCAAGCCTTACGAGATCTACTGAAAGAAGAAGAAACTACTATGGAGGACAACTGGAAAGGCATCAAGGAAGCATTAACTTCAACGTGTCAAGAGGTTCTCGGTCTAAAGAAATACCATCATAAGGAATGGATCTCTACAGAAACAGTGGACAAGATCAAAGAAAGGAAGAACAAGAAGGCAGCAATAAACAACAGCCGAACACGAGCAGAGAAAGTCCAAGCACAAGCTGAATACATAGAAGCAAACAAACAAGTGAAGAGGAGCATTAGAGCCGACAAGAAGAAATACGTTGAAGAACTAGCAACGACTGCAGAAAAAGCTGCTAGAGAAGGAAACATGAAACAGCTTTACGATACAACGAAGAAACTATCAGGGAAATACAGTAAACCAGAGAGGCCGGTCAAAGACAAAGAAGGCAAGCCAATCACCGAAATTCAACAACAACGTAACAGATGGGTAGAATACTTCGAGGAACTCCTGAATAGGCCGGCTCCAATGAATCCACCGGACATCGAAGCAGCACACATAGATCTTCCTATAGATGTCAATCCACCAACTACGGAAGAAATTAGAATGGCCGTCAGACAAATCAAGAACGGGAAAGCAGCAGGACCCGACAACATACCAGCTGAAGCACTGAAATCAGACATCGAAACAACCACAAGCATGCTTTATCTTCTATTCAAAAAGATTTGGGAGGAGGAACAAGTGCCGATGGACTGGAAAGAAGGACACCTCATCAAGATTCCAAAGAAAGGAGATCTGAGCAAATGTGAAAACTACAGAGGCATTACACTACTGTCAATACCAGGGAAAGTCTTCAACAGAGTGTTGCTGAACCGGATGAAGGATGCAGTAGACGCCCAACTTCGAGATCAACAAGCTGGATTCCGTAAGGATCGGTCATGCACAGACCAAATTGCAACACTACGGATCATCGTCGAACAATCAGTTGAGTGGAACTCATCACTATACATCAACTTCATTGATTATGAAAAGGCATTCGACAGTGTAGACAGGAGGACGTTATGGAAACTTCTTCGACACTACGGAGTTCCTCAGAAGATTGTCAATATTATCCGGAACTCATACGACGGACTACAGTGCAAAGTAGTGCATGGAGGACAGCTGACAGATGCATTCCAAGTAAGGACCGGAGTCAGACAAGGCTGTTTACTCTCTCCCTTCCTTTTTCTCCTGGTGGTCGACTGGATTATGAAGACCTCGACATCTGAAGGAAAACACGGAATACAATGGACAGCTCAGAACCAATTAGACGATTTGGACTTCGCAGATGACCTAGCCCTCCTATCACGTACACAAAAACAGATGCAGATGAAAACAGCCAGTGTAGCAGCAGTCTCTGCATCAGTAGGCCTCAGCATACACAAAGGGAAAACTAAGGTCCTCAAATTCAAAGCGGAGAACAGCAATCCGATCACACTTGATGGCGAAACTCTGGAAGATGTAGAATCCTTCACATACCTGGGAAGCATCATTGATGAACAAGGAGGATCCGATGCAGACGTAAAGGCGAGGATTGGCAAAGCAAGGGTCGCATTCCTACAATTCAAGAACATATGGAACTCAAAACAACTTTCAACCAATATCAAAGTCACAATCTTCAATACGAACGTCAAGGCAGTTCTACTGTATGGAGCTGAAACTTGGAGAACTACAACAACCACAATCAAGAAAGTACAAGTATTTATAAATAGCTGTTTACGCAAGATACTCAACATCCATTGGCCGGATACCATCAGCAACAGCCTTCTGTGGGAGAGAACAAACCAACTTCCAGCTGAAGAAGAAATTAGGAAAAGACGTTGGAAATGGATAGGACATACATTACGCAAATCGTCAAACTGCATCACGAGGCAAGCCGTGACTTGGAATCCTGAAGGGAAACGGAAAAGAGGAAGGCCAAAGAACACACTACGTTGTGAAATAGAATCAGATATGGAAAGGATGAATAACAACTGGAAGGAGCTGGAAAGGATTGCCCAGGACAGGGTTGGATGGAAAATGCTGGTGAGCGGCCTATGCTCCTTCAAGATGAGTAACAGGCGTAAGTAAAGTAAGTAAGTAAGATCAAAAACTATCCGATTAAAGATGGATTAAATTAAATAATAAACGGTGGGAGGGGGAAAGATTTCTTTTATCAGTTTCACATCAACCAGTGATGTATTATTAAGAGATCTAATCAGTAACTGTGATCTTAAAAAGAAAGTTCAATTTCTATTCAAGTAACATATTCTTTATAAGTAATCAAGTAAACTTACGCATAACACCATATTAATTCCCAATAACATAGATGATGATAATGTATCCAATCAGATTGTGAATTTATTGAACGTTGAAATAATGTGATAGCCTTTAAAATAATGAAAATATTGAATAAGTCGAAATGACCTAGAGTATTCCTCGAAAAAAAGACCTAAATCGACCTTAAAAACACTAGAAAACATTTTATCTAATCAGTATTGAATAGAACTTTCTTAGAAACTAATCTGTTCCGAAATCTCTGTCGTCAATTGTTATAACTTGTGAATCAAATGCTTACTTGTTATATCTGGTCGTCGCTGATTGTTGTATCGGAAACATTTATCACTTATCACTCAGAACAAGGGACCTTCGCATTTAGAAAATGAAAAATCATGTATCAAATTTCTAATTGGATAATTATCTTGTCCTGCTACTATGTTTAGTAGGATTCCAAATTCTTTCAGAAGCCCAAAAAGCTATCTGAAATGCTCTTTATATATTTCAAGCCATTTTTGTTTTCTCATACTTAAGTTGTCATATGGATTTAGTTTGAAGTTATTAAAAGAGCTGAGAAAATCGATTCAAGCGTTTAATTAGAAGATTTATCAGTTTGTACTATTTTAAGGTTGTATGAAATGATTTGAAGATTCATTTAATCTAATACTGATTAGTAACCTTAATGATAATAAACTAGTGTAATGATAAAGTTTGGATTGTAATTTATTATTCATCCAACTAACAAGGTTTGTTAAATTGTTGATTGTATGATGTTTTTATGAAGTGCGAAACATTTCTAACAGTATCCAATTATTACTAAGTGGGATTCGACATACTTGCGATTGTTCACTACTTATTGATCAATAAATTGTAAGATATTTCAATCAAAGCTGTAAAACTTTCACATTTCTTTGACAGGACCATAAAGGTAATTTTTTTATTTCAATGGTTAAGATTATGAGTCAGTTGAAGCTAGATCACCATGGAAAACCTGGAAGCACTGGATGGCCGTCTCGTCCTATTGTGCGACTCTTCAGCAGTGCACATCCACGTAACGACCGTCCAGTGCTTCCAGGTTTTCCATGGTGACCTAGCTTCAACTGACTCATGATCTTAACCATTGAAATTACTATAATATCCATAAAACTTATCTGATATTAAAAGTATAATTGTTTACTTGATGTAAATTTCCAGATATTTCTTCTAAACGACCAGATAATAATAGAAATATAGCACTATTTGGATATACAACAGACCAATGATCTAATAATTCACGAGCTTCTTTCATATGTTCTGGTTGTTCAGAAGCTTAAAGAAAATGATTGAAGAATAATTCCATTAATACTTCATCTTTATTAATGATATAAAACTATTATTCTTTGAATGTCAAGACTAAATTGTTACATAATGTAAACGCATAGCTAATGAAATTTTTTATTCATCAATCTTCATGAATGATGGAGAGGATTTATAGTTTAGGTGGATGATTTTGGTGAAGTTTTGTTTTCTGAACTGGATAGTTCAGTCGACCAAACCATGAATCCGTTATACTAATACTAACAATAATAATGATAAACATCTATTCCCTAATGATTAAGTTCAGCATTCCAATGCGTAGTCTCAATCTGTCGGGTTTAACCACATAGAGACAGAGTTATAAAAGTAAACCATGAGATAATAACTGAATATTCTCAAGATAAACTGCCAGCCGATTTTAATCTTCTATGAGCTTGTAGGTGTGTACAACTGAGTAGTTTAATACTTGGAAGAATCAGCTGCCCATCGTTTGCTGGTTTCTAACTGATATCTAACTCTTAATGATTTCATAAAATAGTAAAAGTAACTTCATCATTATTAGCCAATCATTTATAAGATGTTAGAGGAATCGAATTCGAATGATGTGAAATGAATGACATCAACAGGGATACAATTAAGTTGTGTAACGAATTTGTTTCGTTCTTTTCATTTCACAATCTTTGTTACAAAAAAACTATATTAAGAATGTTGGCAACAATAATTGGTCAGCTGTAATGAATAACGATTACATAAAACAAATTCTTACAATAAACAAAGAATAATAATTATCATTTAGGATTAATAACTAATTATAGTTTGTTATGAATCAAAACTTTATAATTTTCACACCCAACTACCTTGATACGGCCAAGAGTAGGGTGAGTCAGCTCTCCCTTTCAAAATGCGCTCACATGGCCACGTGTATACAACCAATGACAGAGAAGTTCTACTCACTGACTTCTCATGGCAGGGGTGTTGTTTACGAAATTCAGAGAACGAAAGGCGAATGTCTGACGCATTAACCGGATTAGTAGATATAAAAGACCCACCTGGACGAGTTCGGAAATCCTGATTCAAAACCAGTTGTTCACTGCGGCTCCAGGATCCTAAGGGAATAAATGGCGTATGAACCAACTGTTGGTCACCGGCTACCATGGGACTGCATCTCCTGACGTTGTTCCATTGCCTTGTGGATTAGACCTTTAGGTCAAAGCCTCTGGGTGTTACCCTCTAAGAAAACCATGTGCTTCGGTTTGGGCACCCGGACAGTATCCCAGCCCTCATATAAATCGAATGATTTAAGTGTCACATATCTATTTGGCGCTTCCTTGTACCAGTGTTTATAAGGTTAAATAAATTTATAACTTCCAATGAACAGTTCTACCTATTGAACGAAATTGTGTTATTTACTAGACACATACTGAATAGTTTAGACTTAACATTACCAAATCTGATAAATATTTTAATTTCCAAAGATTATTATGTGATCTATGTGAAATTGTTCTATACATATTTTATTTATTTAACACAAAAACATTGATACAAGGAGACACCAAATAGTTATGCGATACATAAATCATTCGATTTATGTGAGGGCTGGGATACTTCCTGGGTGCCTATACCGAGGTAGATGGTTTTATTAAAGGGTCACTCCGCGATCCTTTGACCGAAAGGTAAAATCCACAAAGCAGTGAAGCAACGTAAGGAGATACAGTTTCAAGTTAGCCAGTGACTAATAATTGGTCCATACCCCATTTATTCCATCAGGATCCTGGAACCCTTATGCATCGTTGGTTCGGAATAAATGTTTTACAACTCCTCTAGGTGAATCCTTCGTGTGCACTAACCCAATTAAACTCTCGGACATTCGCTTTTCGTTCTGTCAGTTTTGTAAACAACACCGGTGCCGTGAGAAAGCAGTGAGTAAGATGTCTGTCAGTGGTTGTATACACATGGCCTTGTGAGAGCATTTGAAAAATGAGAGCTGACTCTCCCCACTCTCGGCCGTACCATGACATTCCGGGGGTAGTCTCACAAATATCTTATATATTAACTGTACTGATAATCATTTAAACGTGATCTTTTTCAACATATTAGGAACAAATTAAATATGATGTACATGAATAAATAAGAAAGGTCCTTGTTCGACTTTAACAGGTAGAATTAGTTCCTTCAAAATTTATGGTAGTCATTATTGATCAGTCCTATCTAATACAAAACGTTGATCTATAGTTTCTTCCAGTCTATCTTAAATCATCTGACAATAAAACTTTTATAAAATTCACTGCTATAAGAATGATTAAATAATTTCTTTGCTACTTGGCGCACGTCAGTAAGGTGTACCTGCATTCTTGAGGGAACTGATGTCCCCTAACGGATTCGATCCCATGTCACCCAGCTTCACAATCAGACGTTACCACTAGGCTATCCGGTCCGCGACCGACCTCCTGTAGGACTGAGATGTAATCACAATTGATTGATCACTGGGTGGTGATCAATGTCATGTGTGTCAAGTCCGGCATCTGATTGTGAGGCTGGGTGAGACGGGATCGAATCCGTCAGGGAGCACCAGTTCCCTCAAGATTACAGGTACACCTTTCTGACAAGTGCCAAGGGTTTCCTGTTGACTACCTCCAACCATCTCCTTATAACCAATTTACTATTTAACATAAAACTATGGAGTTCATTAATAAGCTATAAAAACCATAGATTAAATACTTCAATTCTAAATCTTCCATCAATTGTACTTCATATTCTATATGATTCTTCTAATTCATGATTTTCTATATTATTTTTATTATTCTGTTCAACTCGATCTTCTTAACCTTGTGCTACTAGGGATTCAATTTCTAAATGGTGTTACATAATACGTATGTCTGTCGAAATAAGTAGCATACACCAAAATGTCATTGAACAGAGTTTTTAGCAAGTATATAAACCAATCAATACAACAATTCACTTGGTGTTGTTTTACTTGTATCTTTCGATTGTTATTTAGGACTGAAATTGATCATTTTCATGTTGGCATATGTGCATTCTGTGTGGATTGCCTTGATATAGCTTTAAGTCATAAGCTTTTTAAGCAAAGATAGATAGTGGCTGGCAGTGGAATCCAGGACGCGCGTTTCGTCCTATTTGGGACTCATCAGCCGGATGTAAGTGCATCTTACTTAAGTAAAACAACGCCAAGTGAATTTAAACTTCACCCTATTTCACAAGCAGGTGGCAATCAGGACTCAGTAGATTAGTGGATAAAGTGATGTAGTTTGAAGAGAACGATACTGGATTTGAGTCCCGGAGTGAACATCAACTCTACGATGCAGGTACATCTAGCTGACGAGCCATAAATAGGACGAAACACGAGTCCTAGATTCCACTGTTATCCACTATCCATCTTTAATCAACACAAGAATATACTACTAATGAGATGGTAGATAATTTTGGTGAATATGTGTTCTTCGACCTAAATGGATTAATTCATAAGCTTTCCAAAAGTTATTATGATCAGCAGAAAACCAATTTTTAGTATAAACTAATAATGATACAAATTTACCAGATGATTCCTAACTATAAAATATATTTTTGGAAGTTATCATAAGACATCATGAAAGAATAGTAGTAGAATATGATGGATAGTAGATGATGACCACGCTTCATTGTAAATTAATCAAAGTTTACTATCACTAACTGAACTATTATATACAACAACTTAAAGATATGACCCTTAACTCTGAAACGTAGTTCAATTTCAATTCAATCTCCTTCGTACAGATTGTGAACAAGTCTCAAGCTAAAATGAGATATTTATTCTTTAATGCTTGATTTTTAATAGTGCTACTGATATTGGCAGATATAAGTAGTAAGTATCATCAATCGAAAGTGAAATGATTGGTGGCTGAAGGTTAAAGAAATCGAAGAAAAGAGAATGAGAACAGAGAATGATTGGTGTAGAAACGAATAAACAATGAAGTCTAAGACAATTGATTGAATGAAATAAAGTATTTACTGTATGCATCTTAGATACTACTAAGATACTCTCTCTGTAAAATTGTATTCAAATACATTCGATTAGTCCCCACTTGATGTTCTCGGTTCATTACAATATTCAATAAACAATCAATAAAAACATCATAATCACCCAAATCATTTAACTTACATACACTGACAACACTGTCACCTACAAATGTATATAAATTGTATACATAGAACCAATTTGATTAAAATCTTATTCTAAAATGTAATGGTTTTCAATTGGTTATATAATTAAAGTCATTCAATTGTGCAAATGATCTTCATACATAATTAACTAAGTCAATGTACAGTAATTTCTGATGTAAGAGTGAATTGAATAGAAGTCAGAGATGATTAAATCAAGTGATGATATTGATCTATTGATCTACTTCTTGAAAGAAGTTGAAATGTGTTATATTAATCAGTGTAGACCCTTTGATTTAGATCAGCACAATTATCGTCACTGATATATATAAAGATGTTAAGTTACAAGACTTGGAATGGATCATATTAGGGTGGATAAATTCAATCTTAAGTTGTAAAATTATTTTACACTTAGTACTTCATAAAGATATTCTTACTTCTTTAGTTATATTGTTACCCTGCTACCACTGATGATAATGTCATAACTTCTATTAATCTGTTATTTGTCATGTTAATTTCATCTCGCTGTATTTGTTATCACTTGTGACCTGTGTGCCCCGGTAATGGATAACGTGATGATACAGCCAATTAGAGAGCAATGAATTATCGTTCGGACCAATGACGTATAAAACACGCACGAGCAGTCTACAGTCCTTCATGGTCCTGCTTCTTGACTAGCTCAACCAGTTAAGTCCAGAACACCAATCTCAGCCTCTGATATATGAATCGTTTATTTCAAGCGTACCATAAAATAGGAAATAACATTTGTACAAAATCTAGCCCAAAGTGGATGTGAATGTGGGAGATAGTAATTGATTGACTACGTATAACTCAAGAATTGTCAATCGTATAATAATAGTTCATAGATCAAAATAAAGCTTATAATAAGAGGAACATGAATATGAATAGTTTAGTTACTTAATAATTATACAATAGAAATACACGTTTAGTATTGGTCCATAAATGGATTCCAAAAGTTACCATTCATTATTCTCATCGGGATATAACAGTATTTATGTTGTATATATGGGCCATATTTTGTAACTTTGTTCATCCGATAAAACTCGTTATATCTAACTGAATGTATTAAGTTTACACATCAAACACATCAATGGTATTATAGATAATCACATCTGGTTACAAATACCTACTGTTTGAGATACGTTATGTCCTACCACAGATATGTCAAAAGAATACGTTTTCTTAAATCGTATGTTTTTTTTACTGCATTAATTACTAAATGATGATCCATGTCAGACAGTGTCATGGGTCATACTCAAAAATTGTAATCAGCTTACCACTTCACCATAGATTTCCGCCAAGGCCATAAACTTTGCCGAGACGAGATCTTACGAGTCTATAATAAAACTACTGGTGGTATGAAAGTGATGAAAAAATATCGTCCATGACGAATTATTTCCGAATTGATTTGAGTACTTGATATTCATTCAGTGTTTGGAAGCGACTAGGCTATAGACTGAGGTCATCACATCTATACCTATGTGTATACTATATAACTAAGTTACTTATACTTGCGAGTGGGAGCATCTATCCCTATGTGTGTCACATTGAGTGTATAGGCCTTGATTTATGCATTCTATATATGCATGTGACATATACTTTAGACAGCTTGCACCTATGTCAATGTGTGTACTGTAAGATGTAGGTATCAACGATATGTGAATTCTATAGATATGTGTAACATACACTTGCGATAGAACCATATTCCATAATAGCGTATTCATTATAGCTCTTCACACGTTTAAAATGCTTTACAAGATTCCAAAAGTGACAGGAAAGTGTAAACTATAACGTATCCATCTACACTACAGACCATTGTGGACTGTAACGCATCCTCCTGCACTCCAGATGTGGAAATCCCTAACTACACGTAAAAACTACTGAGTAAACTATAAAGTATGCGTTTACTTTGCTTTCTTCAATGCTCCAGTTCCACTGTGTTTGCAAGGTTCTCGTCCTATCTTGAAGAGTCAAAAGGCTTCCGCTAATTAGTTGGGTGAGAATAATACTACCATACGGTAAAGTCTATTAAAATAAATGAAGAGATAGTTTTGTAGAAATTCAAATGAAGGTTTTAACCTGTATTATTAATCGCAGAATGGCCGTTTTTTTAATTCAGCTAATCTACTTACATTATTTTTTATACATAACTATATGTGACTATTCAAAAGTAAATTTCAGCACAGATATACCTAGTTTCAGTGCATTCAATTACCTTATTATGTAAGCCAGTATTTGACTCCTATCCAACTATTTAAGATACTTCGTTTCACTCACTCAATAACTTCTCCTCACTGTTGATGTTTATTTTAATTAGATGCATCATTGTAATTGTCTAGTTATCAAGAGGGAAATAAATTTTACTTATTCAATGTTGACAATAAAAATTTTCATTATGTTAGAATATTACTTACCTAACATATGAGTAGCATATAAATCATATGCTAATAATAATAGAGCACATAAAGGACCACGTAATGAATCTTTCATTCCTGCACCCATTCTAAGTTGTTCTAAACCGAATTGCTGAATACAAAAAAAAAGAAGTGTAATGTAATCAAAGTGAAATGATGTCCTGTCGAAAGATATAACATTAAACTGATCAATAACACCAACAAACTCATACACACACACATTCATTTCTACCTGAAATTTGTGCTGATGATGTCGTTTAGAAGAACGATGAAAGTTCCACGACCAAACCATCTAGCTCACAGAACAAAATTGCAACAAAAACATTCCTTTTCAAAACAGTTTTGAACATTAGCCGATAAAAAATGTAAGATGAAGTATTTAGATCCAAGAACTATTGAATATGCCCTATGAAATTTAGCCTCTCTGTGTAACAGGTGACTGAAGATGAAAACATTTAGCGTGTTTGAAGATTTTATGCAAATAAAACAAATCAGGTGATGTGTCAATCGTATTCATCTCAGATTTTACTTGGGATAGCATTTAAAATCAGACAGCCTTAGATAGATATTTCGTTTCATTATGCGACTAATTATTAGTGTGTACTTACAACTGATCATTCCACTAGTACCTTTTAAATGTTCCCACATTTCTTGTGAGAACTTGTTACTTGTGGAATTCAGACATATCTTAGATGAAACCAGTGTTGATAATAGCAATGGTTGATCTATGAGCTTCATCACAAACTTGTTGAAGTTAGAATTGTACATTTTTTTGTCGGATCCGTGGCTTTTATAATTAGCCTCTTGTTGCATTACCTAAAAATTGTGGGTTTGACTTAAAGTGAATACACTTCTTTTACATGGTTCAAAAACTCGTCAAAGTTAGAAAGAGATTCACAGGTTCTAAAATCGTAATACATGCAGTAGAGAAAATCATCCATATGGCTTCATAATAATCGGCCTCTGGAGCCATGATAAGGTCACAAAAACTCTCTCAACCTCGACTACATAACTTTAATATTGTTTGTGTGCACTCTGGTTGTTGAGTGCACAAAATGCCACTTGTGGATAACGACGCGATGCATATAACCAAGTCTATGTAGGCTTCTGTACGCTCCCCAATCATCTGTATATATTGTAGTACATGGCTGCAGTCAGTGTTACTAGTTCTTTTATTATCCAGTTCTCAATAATTATCATAATTTGCCTCAATTTCGATCGAGCGGAAAAAGTTCTATTCTAGGAGACTTCTTCCTTCAGCATATATTACATCGAAATACAACATCATGACGGTAATCTGCACAAGATCCACAATTAATTTGATTACTACAGTCACAAGTAAAGGAACTTCTTGGTAGTCTCATTTGTTGTAGGATGTCCACTTACTAACTAGAACTAAATAAGGGTTATAAACCAGTGTTAAGAATTAGAATTACGATTTAAAGTTAATGGTTAGGGCTTAGGAATTAGATTTAGGGTTTTTATCAAGAACCAATATCAGCTAGTATGCTAAAACGATATTTAACCAAATGGATAGATGAACTTCGCGCCGAAAACTCAGACGTATTATCTTATATTTGACTGGTTCGTCCATAAATGATAGTCTTGCCCCTTACTTTATTATTCGATTATGTACACTCATTGCATACTCAATTTCTTTTGGTTACATATGATATCCTCCTGTCTATTGATTTCAGTATTACATAATAGTCTAGATAGATTACATTGATAACTAAATGTCAAGGGACCAAAGTCAAAATATTAATAATTTGGCTAATGTTTTAAGGATGTTGCTTGATGTCTTCAATCTTTCAAATTTACTTTATTACATGTGAAATAACATAAAGAATATGGCAATTAATGACAGGAAAAGGTGATATTCCTATGTGGGAGAGAATAAACCAACTTTCATTTTAAGAGTAAATTAGGAAAAGACACTCGAAGTGGATAAGACATACATTACGAAAATCATCAAACTGTATGACAAAGCAGACACTAACTTAAAATCCTGAAAAGAAACAGAAAAGTGGAAGGCTGGCTGAATAACACACAACGTCGAGAATTGGAAACAGACATTAAAACGATGAATAGCAACTAGAAACAACTGAAAAGGATTGACCAGGGCGGTATTTGAAGAAGAATTCTTGTGGGTAGTCTATGCTTCTCCACCATCGGTAACAAGAGTAAGTAAGTAATTATTATATATGTAAATGTAATGTAATTAATTTTTTACTCACTTATTATATTACTTAATAGGAGTTTATGACAGTTAAAGTAAACAGTTTTATGATCATAGTTCATTCCTAGTAGAAACACATTTTGATCAATTTCGCTTCGAATTAATAATCTATGTTTTCATCAGAATGGGTTTTGTGGAGATTTTCAGAAATTTCATTTGTTGAAATCATGAGTCAATTGAAGCTAGACCACCATGGAAATCCTGGAAGCAGTGGACAGCCGTTTCGTTTTAGTATGGGACTCCTCAGCAGTTCGCATCCACGATCCCGCCTCCCGAAACATTCGAACCCAGGACCTATCAGTCTCGCGCAAGGCGCTTAACCAGCTAGACCACTGAGCCGGCATCCAACGGTGTTAATGTCTAACCTCAACCAATCCACGAAGTTGCGCCACCATAAACCATTGTCTTCAGTGAGTCCCTATCGCACAACAGACCTGGTTGAACTCCACTGGTAACGATCATAATTCGACTAATGTTAGACAAAATGACCATCCAATGCTCTCAGATTTTCAATAGTGGTTTAATATCAATCGATACTTATGATCTTAATCAAAAACTTTATAACCTCTATAACCCCATAATGATAACTTATATTGTCTTTTAATATATTACAGTAATTAGAATGACAATTGATTCAGGCAGCTTTCTTTTTGTTATCGACTGCATTTTATAAATTATTAATTATTACAGAAAAGGGGTTTTTGTGAATATTATAGTAATTTGCATAGTTCAGATCATGAGTCAATTGAAGTTAGATCACGATGAAAAAACTTGAAAGCATTGGACGGCAGTTACGTCCTATTGTGGTACTCCTCAGCAGTGAGCATCCATCTAGTGGTTAATCGCTCGTGCACCAGACGGATAGGTCCTGGCTTTGAACCTTGCGAGGCGGGATCGTAGATGCGCACTGCCATAGAGGAGTCCCATACTAGGGTGAAACGGCAGTCTAGTGTTCCCAGGTCTTCCATGATGTTCTAGTTTCAATTGACTCATGATGTCAACTACTGAAATTACAGAAAACCTGACAGTTGTTTCATGTTAAGATAAAATTTTACAGTAATGAGCATTAACAACTCTGTCAGAACCATTGAGCTGGAATCTGGACAATTCACATTATCATTCAATCCGAATGAAGATGTCAAGGAAATACACTTCATGAAAACTAATATCAAGTTACATCGAAGAGCAAAGAGAAAGAGAGAACAACAAAATATCATTCATAACATACACGATCTCCGGAGAATCCGACAAATTCCAATAATTTCAGTACACGTCTAGGAAGCATGGAGATCATCTATAAAAAAGTGATCATAAAAAATTATATAAATTTAGTTTTTATTTATTTTGGAACAGATAACAATAAACACTTTTTCTTGTCAGAAAGGGGTTCATTGGAGATTTTAGTAATTTAATAGTTGAATTCATGGATTGGTTGAAGTTAGACATTAACACCATTGGATGCTAGTCGACTCAGTGGTCTAGAGGTTAAGTGTTCGAGCACCAGACCGACAGGTCCTAAACTCGGATCTCACGAGTAGGATCATGGATGCGTATTTCTGTGGAGTCCCATGATAGAACGAAATGGCCGTCCAGTGCTTCCAGGTTTCCTATGATGGTCTAGCTTTAATTGATTCATTAATTAAACAATGTCATTATAGATACTACTAATGAGATTATATGATTATCTATCCATTTAATCAAAACATATACACCCAAACGAGTAGGTTTTCAAAGACAAAACCACCGGTAAACTGATGAAACTCTAGTTAATATCGCATAGTAAATATATTAACTATAGTAATAATAATAATAGTCCTTTGTTTTTGACTTTATTGTTTCTTCATTTCCATATCCATTACTCTCTGTTCCAGTCTCTTATATTCAATCTTTCCAAACATCTGCTACCAGATTTTCCACTTTCCATTAGTGTTACATACTCCAATAAAGAGACGTAATAGTCACTAAGTATATCATCTTGTACTTAACGTTAAAACAATAATTGTATTATGTAATAATTAGTCATACTAATTATTTGCTCAGGAGGTAAAACCCGACTCATACTTCCGCGTCGCGCCGAATGACTCATGAACTAACTTGAGGGATCACCCGGGTGGTAGAGATCGGGCTAATCACCCACTCGACCGACGCCCTCAAACAATTACGAACTCCACAAAGAAACACAGCACAATTACTCTGGGATGGAAAAAGGACAAAAATTATTTGCTCACGTCTACATAGTTTCAATACATAATCAATAGTTCAATGACTAGACCCTTCGACGGATTTCAATATCGACCAACTTATCGAGTTATAAATACATATCATTACTTACTAAATTAAAAGCTCCAACACCTAAATGTACACCACTTTCAAAAGCTGATTTACTAATTTCATTTTGCCAATTTCGATATTTTAATATTCTCCAACATATTCTGTACTAGTCAATAAATAAACAACAACAATAATAAATAAGAAATTAAAAAAGAAAGGAATGTAAACATTATATCATTTCATTTATGTAGAATATTATTCATTTGTACTAACTTAATTACTTACGCCTGTTACTCCTCGTGAAGGAGCATAAGCCGCTCACCAGCATTTTCCATCCAACCCTGTCCTGAGCAATCCTTTCTAGCTCCTTCCAGTTGTTATTCATCCTTTCCATATCTGATTCTATTTCACGACGTAGTGTGTTCTTTGGCCTTCCTCTTTTCCGTTTCCCTTCAGGATTCCAAGTCACGGCTTGCCTCGTGATGCAGTTTGATGATTCGCGTAATGTATGTCCTATCCATTTCCAACGTCTTCTCCTAATTTCTTCTTCAGATGGAAGTTGGTTTGTTCTCTCCCACAGAAGGCTGTTGCTGATGGTATCCGGCCAATGGATGTTGAGTATCTTGCGTAGACAGCTATTTATAAATACTTGTACTTTCTTGATTGTGATTGTTGTAGTTCTCCAAGTTTCAGCTCCATACAGTAGAACTGCCTCGACGTTCGTATTGAAGATTCTCACTTTGATATTGGTTGAAAGTTGTTTTGAGTTCCATATGTTCTTCAATTGTAGGAATGCGACCCTTGCTTTGCCGATCCTCGCCTTTACGTCTGCATCTGATCCTCCTTGTTCATTGATGATGCTTCCCAGGTATGTGAAGAATTCTACATCTTCCAGTGTTTCACCATCAACAGTGATTGGATTACTATTCTGCGTATTGTATTTGAGAACCATGGTTTTCCCCTTGTGTATGTTGAGGCCTTCTGATGCAGAGACTGTTGCTACACTGGTTGTCTTTATCTGCATTTGTTCGTGTGTACTGTAATCCTTCATATGAGTTCCAGATAATGTTGAAAATCGTCTCAGGAACTCCGTAATGTCGGAGAAGTTTCCATAGCATTCTCCTATCTACACCGTTAAATGTGCTGGATGATATACTGTATGTACTGGATGATACAACATTTAGTGATGAGTTTATGCATGGTATTAGATACAAAATCAGTTGCTGATCCTATCTGAAGTTATCACTAATCAATCAGTCAGTCAGTCAGCAACAACATAGAACTTCGTACTTACGTACGTATATCAGTTCGAGTTGTCATATCACATTAGCTCAGAGATACAATTGTCAATTCAAATCTCATAGTGGTAAAGGTAGTAAAAGCATAGGGAGTAATCGGGACGATTAGGGTTTGAAGATGTTACGCAAGCAGTATAATCCAGTGAAATATATTTGGAAAGAGAAAAAAGAAAAGGGACATGGAGAATTCAGAAGATTAGAATTTAGGAGAACACAAAGAGTGGATGCACCTTCGACATTGTAAACGCTTTCCAGCCATATCATTCAAGGTCTCTAACCATCGGTTGCTATCGTCTCGCGGATCTCAACCAGGTAGTCTATACCTACCAACATAGCTCAGTCCACTTGTCAGTGACTTCATGGATTTGTGTCATGTTTTGGTCTGGCCGTCCCTAACTTTCTTCCAATCTACTCCTACACTAATGATAAACTCTTAGATGTTTAGCAGTTCCAGGTAGTTGGTAAAATGACAAGATTTCATTGTTGTTCACATTTATAGACTAGAGTATCAATTCGACTACTTGAAACCGTATAGTATTCCAACATTGTGTACACAATGTTGAGCCATTAGACTGGTAACCACGTCTTGACCGATATAATAAGGTTAGTACTTAAAGTTTAGATGGTTATAACACTAATTACTACTCAAAGACTGACCAATCTTGAATACCTCAATCATATAGAAGATAAAAATCTATACAACCTTAAGACCAATATAGATGATCAAACAGGATTCAACGTTTGTTTAACAACCAAGCCTAATATGTGAACCAGAAGACCAAGAAACTGTATTCGATAGAGTGAATACACAATATGTGAATGAGTTCTTTTATAAATACAGATATATTTCCCTAAGGTAAATTAAATTGGTCGGATACCATCAGCAACAGCCTTCTTTGGAAGAGAACAAACCAACTTCCATCTGAAGAAGAAATTAGGAGAAGACGTTGGAAATGGATAGGACATACATTACGCGAATCATCAAACTGCATCACGAGGCAAGCCGTGACTTGGAATCCTGAAGGGAAACGGAAAAGAGGAAGGCCAAAGAACACACTACGTCGTGAAATGGAATCAGATATGGAAAGGATGAATAACAACTGGAAGGAGCTAGAAAGGATTACCCAGGACAGAGTTGAATGGAAAATGCTGGTGAGCGGCTTATGCTCCTTCACGAGGAGTAACAGGTGTAAGTAAGTAAGTAAGGTAAATTAAACCAAATTTCAAAAAACAGCGTCTGTGTCCCCCAGTTAATGAGGTCGAGTTTTCAAAAATAGCATAAACTCATCAACTCTCACTTTCTAATTAGCCTTAAACAGACTTGATAAACTTATCGGAATTCTTAACTGGAACTCAACTGTCTACAATTGGAATTCAATAAATTGATGTTGGGAGTCATTTTCAACTGTTATTCAAACCAAGTACAATTCAATATAGGTGGCCAGTAACCGCGTAAATCATGTGTGAATATCATATCTTCGGAAATAATTGACAGGAATTCTTGCTTAACCTCTATTTCCTGTTGGTTAATACACTTTAAAGCTCAGATCCTCATTACTCACTTCCACGGTTAGATTTTGCTGTTAAGTTAATCAAGTCGAGAAATTCACTCAGCTTATGTAAGATATCCACGTCGAGAGGTGATCACTGTCATATATGTTAAGTCATTAATAATAATCGGAATGGTGTGTGGGAGAGAATGATAATGATCGGTTTTCTGCTTAGTCAGACATGTAGATAGTCTGATAGATGTCAGATGAGTTATATATTCTCTTATCCTTATAATTATTATCATTGATTGTTCCTTGTTGTTGGATTGCGTCGGATTTTTAGTGTTGAAATAGAATTACATTGTGATCAGGCTTATCACGTGTTCTTGATCAACTGAGTTGTGTTGAAGTCTTGTAGAATGGACATTGGGAAGGAATCTAATGAAGATATACGTCTAAGGTAAATTAACATCTCATACGTGTAAACGTTGAAAAACCAACCGTTATAACATTAGACGAAGTAAAACCAAGCGTTATAACATTCAAAACTCATCAGAAATCAAAGTAAATAACCCACTGATAATCATCTTCAAGTCATTAACATTTACATTTTGTAAATTAACTAACCGGTAACATTTGTAACATTGTCTTATTTTCAAAGAACATTTTATAAGACTTGTTAATTTTTCATCTTGTAACATTGAAAGAAATGCCAATTGAAGTAAACCTTCTGCATAACAAAGTTCAGCATGAGCCTGTTCTAGAAAGTAGAAGAAACAAAAAATAAAAAACAATGTGATGAGACTAGAATTTATGAATGACATTTGATTGACGATAAACTGATTTTGACAGTATCCAATTAATCACTAAGACCATATGAGGATTATAAAGCTGTGCGAAGGATTTGAATTATCATTTACAGTTGATGATTAAAGTTAGGAATTAAATTTCAGGGTTTTCATCATGAATTGACATTAGCTATAATGCCAAAATTCTATTTAGCCAAATGAGTGCATGAATCGCGTACCAAAATCCTAGATCTGTTATCGTATATCTGATTGGTTCGTCCATCAACTATAATCTCTCCGTGAAAACACCGTGGGATTGAACTGATTAAAATAAAAGACATTCAGTTCAAATAAGTCATAGATATATCCATAATCATCTCTTGATCATATTATCTTAATGTTACATCCGAGTGGAGATTAAATTACAGGTAATCTCCGAGGACTATTCATGGACTAATATTCTATAATTATTCTTATTGTATAACTACTCAACAATTACACTATGTATATTTATATTCCTTTTATGATAAGCTTTATTTTGACCTATAACTTATTATTGTACGATTTACGGTTCTTAAGTTATGTTCAGTTTATTAACTACTGCCTCCCACATTCACAGCCACTTTTTGGGCTTATTTGTGTACAAATATTATTTCCTATTTTATGGTACGTTGCGGTCTGTGTGATTGATATATAAACCAAGTATGCCTGAAATAAACGATCTGCTCTGATTCGAAGCTGGTATCTTGTTCTGGACTCAAGTGGAAGGGCTCGTAGGACATAGGACCAATAAGGACGCTAAACTGCCCACACCGGTTGGACGTCATTGGTTGGCCTAGTGTGAAGATTCGTATAAGTCGTATTCGGATTGGTAGATAAATCGTGTGATAGCAAAACAAGACAATCCAAGGTCATAACACTTAAGTTCGGTACTTGTTAGAATCATGTATGCGTAATATTGAGAAATACTACATGTTAACATCTGGAGTGAAGCATTGGATACAATGGACAACTAGGATGCAGCTGGACGATCTAGACTTCTCAGCTCATCTGGCTATTCTATCACACACACAACAACAACAACAAATGCAGGAGAAGACGACCAGTGTGGCAGCAGCCTCAGCAGCAGTAGGTCTCAACATACACAAAGGGAAAAGCAAGATTCTCCGATACAACACAGCATGCAGCAATCGAATCACACTTGATGGAAAAGATTTGGAAGATGTAAAAGGCTTTACATATTTGGGCAGCATCATTGATGAACACGGTGGATCTGATGCAGATGTGAAGGCGCGGATCGGACAAACAAGAACAGTATATTTACAGCTGAAGAACATTTGGAACTCAAAATGCCTCTCTGTCAACTAACACCAAAGTCAGAATTTGCAATACAAATGTCAAGACAGTTCTATTGTATGAGGAGAAAACTTGGAGAATTACAAAAGTCATCATCATCTTAACAGTTGACTACGCAAAACACTTCAGTTGTGTTGGCCAGACATTATCAGCAAAAACTTACTGTGAGAGAGAACAAACCAGATCCCAGTAGAGGAAGAAATCAGGAAGAAGCGCTTGAAGTTGATAAGATACACATTCAGGAAAGCACCCAACTGTGTCACAAGGCAATCCCTCACTTCGAATCCTCAAGGCCAAAGTTAAAAGAAGAAGACCAAAAAACACATTACATTGAAAATAGAGACAGATATGAGAAGAATGAACAACAATTGAATAGAACTAGAAAAGATGGCCTAGGACGGATTGGATTAGAGAATGCTGGTTGACAGCCTATCCTCTACCATTTTTGGGGGGTAACAGGTTTAAGTAAGTAAGTAAGCAATTCACTACATGTTCATATAAGAAGCATGTATCCAATAATCTTTAATTTCCATAATTAATATCAATCCATGATAATAAAAGAATAAACAATGATTATTGATTGATTCATAGAAATAATGGATGAAATGACTTACCATCTGTATATAAACTATAAATTATATTACGACTTTTCTCAATTTGTTTCGTGAATGTTTCACTAATAGCTGCTTTACGTCGGTTTGCCTGACATGCTTTAAGTGTTGTTTTTAATTGTTCTTTAGCGGTTTCAAGATTTTCCTAGAAGAAAAAGATAGAAAAAAAGGTTGATATTGATTACAGATTGATCTTGTTTTTTTGGTTTTGAATAAGATTGATAGTTAGATACTGTTGGATAGTTGTCTACGATCTATCTTGTGAATAAACTTAGAACCAACTGTTACTATAATAAACACTGTACCATTAGATTATTTGGTTGAAATTCAACGATACACAATTGTTATCTTCAATCATTGTCGACAAGTATTTAACTTCTGACGTGGTTCAACTACTTTGACTAATACTCAGTTACGTTGAGATAAATTCCCCCTCTCCAAGTCTTTATCCATGGAGTTGAGCCATGTTAAAGGTGGAAAATTTATCAACTGATTGAAATTAAAAATTTTTACCCTTACCATTATTCTAAAAATGATTTATTTTATTTTTATTTTAACACATAGATATTGGTACAAGAAGGCACCAAATACATTTGTGGCACACAAATCTCATTTGATATGTATGAGGGCTGTGATACCGCCCAAGTGCCCAAACCGAAGGAGGTGGTTTTTTTAAGGTGCCACATTCAGAGCCTTCGACCTGAAGGTCTGATCCATAAGCCAGTGGAGCAACTTCAGGAGATACAGTCCCATGATAGCCGGTGACCAACAACTGGTTCATACGCCATATGTTCCCTCGGGGTACTAGAGCCCATGTGCACCATTGGTTTGGAATTGTGATTTTCCAACTTCCCGAGACGGAGTCTCCGCGTTCACCAACCCGCTTAAAACGCTGGACATTCGCCTTTCTTCCTCTCAATTTCGTAAACAACTCCCCCGTTACGAGAAGGCAGCGAGTAGGACTTCCCAGGTAATGATAATTTCAAATAGGAGTCTCACAGTAGGACGAAACGACCGTCCAGTACTTTCAGGTCTTCTATGGTGATCCATGTTCACTTGACTCAACTAATATCCATACAAACCCCTTCTGATATTAAATCAAAATCGAACTATCCATATTTGTTATAGTATATAATTGAAACAAATAAATTATGTCAATATACAAATAAAAAGGCCACATCTATCCAGAAATAACACCACTAAATCTGAATATCCGGTCTCGCTAACGATGTAATCACATTATTGATACATTCAGAGAACAGAAGTTGTATATTCAACTTGTCTAACAGTTTACCCTAATGTACTGTATCACACAACTCATGCCAATTTATCAAGCATTTTGTTTTTGAGTTAATCCTACGTATTACTAGGAATTCCTCAATAGTTTTTTTCAAACCAACTACATACGGTTATTTGAACAAATAGTTAAATTGATCTGTTAAATCCACTGATTGCTTTGTCATAGATAATTCATTGGCAACCATATACAGACAGATAGTTTATTCAATAGAAAACATTTGATTGAACTATCATACAAGCTATACTGATTAGTTTCCCAACAAAAACAGTCAATTGTTTGCCTATGAAATCAGTACATAATGATTGGTGCATTATATCGCTATCAAGTATCTGTGTATAGAATTTTAGTAACTGTTACGTGATTTCATTAGTATAAATGATCAACGACTCTTTTACTTTCAATGGTTGAGATCATGAGTCAATTAAAGCTAGACCAACATGGAAAACCTGAAAACAATGGACGGCCATTTCGTTCTATTGTGGGACTCCTTTACACTTTGCATCCATTATCTCGCCTTGAGAGATACGAACCCTGGACCTATCAGTCTCGCGCGCGAGAGCTTAGTCATTAAACCACTCAGCCGGCATCCACGAAATTGAGTTACACACCCACCACTGTCTTCAGTGAGTTCTTTTATTGTTACAAAATATACGGGTGCAATATCACACATTTTCCGTCATTTTCTTTGTTAGAAGATGTGAGTTATTCTGTGTATCTCAACATTAGTGTATTGGAATAATTATGAATTTATAATTTGCTCATTATTACTATTCACAACTGTATTTGATCTATCTTTGTTGCCCTATATGACTCTTAAGCGGATTACCTTGATATAATCATAGGTTTTAGTATATTAAGTAAGCAGTCAGCACGTTTCATCCTACATGGAACTTTTCAGTTGAATGTACATGAATTAAGAATCTAAATATAAAGTTATTAGAACATATCAGTATTGTACTGACTAGATATCGTGGATGAAAATAACCGATTTATGCTTCTCATATTCAGTTTACAAAGATACTGCTTAGCTAACATTCGTGTTGGAATTTCGACCGATCACGTTGCAGTATACATGGACTGTTGTTCATAGATTGACTTTCACTCATCTTTTGGATAACTAAACCTTAATGTTTAGTAGGAAAGCTTCGTGGTAGTTGACTAAAGTTGTATTCGCACTTCTTTTTAGCGTAAAGACATCAAGTGAGAGACCAATAGACAACAGTTTCTAGCTTCAACTGACTCATGATTTCAATCTGTGAAATTTCTAAAATCTCCACAAAACCCATTCTGATAATAATCAACTGCTCACTAGTGACTGACTTCAGGAAAAACTCCCGAAGTTCTAGTGAGAAGCCGTTACCAGTGGAGTTCAACCAGGTCTGTTGTGAGATAGCAACTCACTGAAGACAATGGTGTACGGTGGCGCAACTTCGTGGATTGGTTGAAGTTAGACATTAACACCGTTGGATGCCGGCACATTGGTCTAGTGGTTAAGTGCTCGCGCGCGAAGCCAGTAGGTCCTGGGTTCGAACCCCGCGGGGTGCGGGATCGTGGATGCGCACTGCTGAGTCCCATACTAGGACGAAACGGCCGTCCAGTGCTTCCAGGTTTTCAATGGTGGTCTAGCTTCAACTGGCTCATGATTTCAATCTGTGAAGTTTCTAAGTAGTTTGTAAATTCCCAGCGTAGCATAAACAAGAGACGTTTTGGTGAATACCTATTTTATCATAAAACACCTCAGATTTCCAACTGCAATCAACTTAATACATAGCACATGAATTTCGTTTAACAATACTGATGAGTTAACTGTTGAGCTGTGAATAAATAAACAAAAAGTTATGTGTCTACCATGATAGTGTAACTTCCTGGTTCTATACTAATTTTCGTGGTCTTCAGTGAACACGATCGAGGAGTCTCATACGAAGGCAAAATGAATGTATTCTAATTTCTGGTTTTCTGTCATTGTCATGAAATTTCATGAATGATGTAATTTCAATATATTTGTGATTAATGAGTAGTATCTAAAACAATGGTCTATGCCACAACAGATTTTATTCATTCACATAGTGAATTAGACTTATGAATCTCCAACATCCAGATGTATTAATTGTAGTAAAATGAAACAATCTATAAGAATGTATATATTCCATTTCATGTTAAGAAACATCCTAGAGTCAAATTTCAAAAGGTTGTATCTTAAACATCTATCAAATATAGAGGAGTAGACTAAGTTTGCTGGAAAATATCAATATCTTAATCACTATCTTGTAGATAAATACCCACTATATAGAACAACAAGTGTCCAGTCGAATTGTTTTACATTGATAAGAAACCTTTCAATAAGATTTGATGACGATGATGATGTTGTTGATGTTGGATCCCTACATTTTTGATAAGGAAGCATTCCATGAGTGTCAAGAGAATAAATTAATCAACACTTATTCATTTGACCACTGATGTATTGTTATTGAATAGTACATATTGTCAATCTCAGTTCATTCCTGGCATGATACAGCAACTACCGATTATCCTTATTATAAAATTTTCCACTAGTCATGAATTCTTACTAAATCATATCACAGATTAACATCAGCCGAAGAACTATTGAAAATCGATAAATACCGGGTAGATGGTTAACCATAATTTGAAAGTTTATAGCAGTGTCTATTTATGATTTCACAATTAAATTATATAGATGTATGATGTTTCACGTGACTTATGAAACTTCTTGGCTTGATTCCAAGTGGGGTGGGTTAAGATTTTTCATTAGTAAGAAGTGACAACCTTTTTATCGATAGAAAGCTGATGTTCAAATGAATCAAAAGATCTGTGAAGAGGAAGGCGATGTGAAGCTATTACAACTTAGATTATTACTTTTGAGTGTAGTATAAATCATCGGTTTGGATACCCCTGAAGTAAGACAGAAACTAAATAGCTTTTTTTCCAGAATGTGACTCTACATGAGACCCTTCTAAAGACATGGGAAGCTCTCCAACAAACCATCTATTTTAATGAATCCAATCCAGGTCATAAAATTTCAGCATAACGTCTTATGAGATTTTACAAATTTTGAGCCGTGAATCACAAGTACACACGTACATTTAAAAATCTAAGCACAGAATGGTAGTACAAACTTCAGTAAATCAGAGTAGCACGCTATCTCTAGTGAACAACAATTTTTACGTATTCTCACATAAGACCGCATTATTGATGAGTTATAATCAACAGACGTTCCTAATGGATTGCATCGAAAGTTAAATCATCTTTTGTTTGTATTTTTCCTCTGATTAGTCCAATCATTATAATACAGTAAATCTCAAGCTTTTTAAGCAACCATTGGAATCCAGGACGCCCGCCACTTCATCCTATTTTAGACTCGTCAGATGGATGTAACTGCATCACAGACTTGTTGATGTTCACCTTGGGACTCGAACTCAGTATCGTTCGCTTCAAATGCCATTGCGTTATCCACTTATCTACTGAGTCCTGATAGCCACCTGTTTATGCAATGGGGTGAAGTTTAAATTCAATTGGTGTTGTTTTATTACTTGTATCTTGAGACTGATCAGTTTCAGTCCTAAATAACAATGGGAAGATACAAGTAAAAAAACACCATGTAAATCTCAGTTTATAATAAAAAACGAACATTCTTCAGAGTTGTATTCGTAAACAGTTAGAGCATCAGTTACCCCGTACAAGTTATCCTCAGAGCACATTAAATAAAATGTATGATTATGGTATTTGTTAACACAAAGAGCAGCCGATTATCAGATCTGTTTGTCAGTGAAGTAAACTAGAGATCAAAAAGAATTGGACCAATGTTTCATCTTGGTTTGGGTCTCTCTTCACTAATAAACGATTTATGAGTGACGGTTGTATCAATACTATTGTTTAAATTTTATTAAAATGCACTTTGGCTCGAACCAATATATTTTTATCCAATTTCAGTCTTTCTCATATCATTTATTGATAGTTGACATTGCTAATTGACCTTAGTTAAACAACAATTAAGAAGTAGCAAACATTGGATAGCTATTTTAGTCTAGTATGAAGCTTCTCAGTAGTGAGCATTCACAATCCTACGGGATATCAAACTCAAGAACCCCAGGTGTCTCTCCGAGAGGTCAACCTTCACATTGTCAAGTCGAGGCCTATTAGTTGATATTTGTAACTTAAATCCGCTTGCGATATTACCGAATGATCGACCAATCACAATAGTAGGCAACTGCCTTCCTCACAACATGGTCCAGATCCACTTGTCTCGCCCCCCACCAAGAAAATCACTTGTTTCGGTTTGGGCATCCGGACAGTATCCCAGCCCTCATACAAATTGAATGATTTACGTGACGCATATTTATTTGGCGCCTCCTTGTACCAATGTCTATGTGTTTAAATAAATAAAATCTTGGCAAGAACTTAGGGAGTTACCTATGAGAATCAGTTACAAGTGAGCACATGACTATTATTAGTGAATAGGGATTGTATCAATTGTTGTAGTTAACAATTACATGAATTAACTTTAGTTAGCCAAACACTGGAAACTAGAATGTGTTTGACAAATTTATCCTCGTGATAAGAGACTCCCCAGAAAAGCCCAATCACTACAGCTCCCAAGGACGAATTCAGGACTTTATTTGTTATTGAAATAGTTAGTTAAAATCGGTAGATAAGACATAATAATGACAATCATGTAAATCCGTTTCGTTCATAGGACACTTAAGGTTCGACCGTAAAAAAATTGTTCTATGATGGTCAACATTCAAAAACTTGATTCATGCCTATTGACAGATGATTGATTATGATAATGTTGATCTATATTGGAATTGTAAATGAACTAATAATGATTGACCAAGTTCTCACAAACTATTCCTATTGAACGAATTGGTGATATTCTTTTTGGGGTTTTGAGAAATAATAATCTTTTTAGCCTAAGTACACTTCATGATCTTGTATTTCATTTCAACTGATAGAAATATTGACGTGAATATCACCCTTTAAATATTTATTCACAAAACATGGGTTCATATCAGCTGATAAACAATACAACATTTATAATCAGAGAATTGTTTTGTGAATATTATAGTATTTTAATAGTTGAATTCATGAGTCGATTAAAGCTAGACCAACATGGAAAATCTGGAAGCAATGGACGACTGTTTCGTCCTAGTATGAGACTCCTCAGTAGTGTCCATTCACAATCTAGCTCGCGGGATTCCAACCCAGGACGAACACTTAACCTCTAGACCACTGAACCGGCCGGCATCCAACGGTGTTTATGTCTAACTTCAACCAATCCACGAAATTGCGTCATCGTCTACTACTATCTTCAATGAGTCACTGCCTCATAACAGACCCAGTTGAACTCCACTTGTCACTGCTTCCGACTAGAACTCCAGTAAATACCTCATGAAGTCAGTCACTAATGACCATATGATGATTATAATCAGATGGGGGTTTTGTGGATATCATAATAATTTGAATAGACCACCATGGAAAACTTGGTTGGCATTGGACGGCCGTTTCGTCCTAGTTTGGGACTCTTCAATTGACTCATGAATCCAACCATTAAAATACCATATGTGATTCAAAATAAGCTAATTGATCATATTTACCATACAACATAATGAAAACGTATCACTACATACCTGTTCTATTGTAGCCATTCCTTGAATAAATAAAATTGTAGAATTTGATAATTCTTGATACATACCACTATGTGTACTTAATAAGAGAGAGAGAGACAGTCATTTAATGAAAATAAGATTCCGATTACTTCATGTGTAAACGATTCTTTGCTTCTTCAAATCGATTATTTAAAAATAAATCAATGGTGCATTTGGCTTCAGCAATTCCTTCCAATAATTTTTCACATGTATCATCGTTAACATTATTAGTGTTATTATTCATATCGGAATTGTTAATATTACCGGTTTTTGGTTGATTTTCATACCACGGTCCAAGATACTGAGATAGAAAATTTAGATAAAGCCAATTTAACAACAATAACAACAACAAAATAATATTCTTATTTATGTTACTAAGTAAATACTAACTTTGAAAGATTATTAGACTGACCAAAGTATTTATTGTGATTATTGATTAAAGTAGTGTGCAAAGATCAGTTCTATTCAAATGATGCCTTTCATCGTAGAACGCAATCAGTTGATTTAAGTTTGTGGTAAAATAAAAACAAATGATTGGTCACCGAGTAATGACCAGTGTCATGTTTATCAACTTCTTAGTGATGATAGAGTTCCATATATCAAGTTGTAATATGGTCATTAATCTAAATGACTCGACATAGAGGAAATTATGTTGAGATGTAAGGTGGTGGTTGAAAGAAGGCGACATGAAATTTTGATTAGCCTAGATCTAGTGCTCGTTTGAACTCATTAGGTAGGCGTATTTGTGATCTTCAGGGGACTGGTGCTTCCCATGAGATTAAAATTCGCATCAACCAGTTTCATAGTCTGAGATATTACCACTTAGATATCCTGTTCACGCATAAAATCTTGTAGAATCAAGATATTTACAATTAACAGATCGATGGACACAAGTTGGTTTAGTCATATAGTGCTAATCTAAGTCAATCGATATTTACTGTCATTATGAACTTGTGATTTGTGTACAGAGTTAAAGGACTAGTGATATGACTTGACTAAACGTTTAACACCACAGACATTCAAACAGACGATTTACATTAAGGTAATTTCAATAAACCTGTACTTCAGAAATGAATGGCAAATAAATTAATGATGGCTTAAGCATATGGTAATCATTTCTCTATATTTCTTCCATACGGATATTTTAGTTACCATCTGAATAATACTGATTATGACAGTAAACAATCGAATTATAATTCACTATGAGGAAAAAGTGAATATTCACATAATAAACTGACTTAAATTAAACAACAATAACAACAACAACTGACGGTTCAATTCCTCTAACTGATTGAATTCAAAAGTTTAAACCATTGAATACTAATTCAATAATCTTGAAGGTTGAAAGCTAGTCGTCCGAATATCTTAGGTTTAATTATAGATTCTTATTGTCAAGACGTTTCATACAAGGAAAACATAGATACTATATTATACCTCTTAGTATTCAGTAGTTATGATGCAATATTAAGTCATAATACAATTGTATACATTAAGAAAAAAGATATGTATACTTAAAAAAGAAGGGGTTTCGTGGATATTTTAGTAATTTTTAATAGTTGAGTTCATGAGTCAATTGAAGCTAGATTACTATGGAAAACTTGTAAATACTGGACAGCCGTTGAAGTTAGACATTAACACCGTTGAATATCAGCTCAGTAGTCTAATGATTAAGCGCTAGCGCGCGAAACTGATAGGTCCTGTGTTCGAATCTCTCGACGTATGATCATGGATGCACATTACTAAGGAGTCCTACACTACGACGAAATGACCGTCCATTATTTCCAGGTTTTTCATGTTGGTCTAGCTTCAATTGATTCATGATCTCAACTATTAAAAATATATTTAAATATTGATTATTTTGGAGAATATAATGGTAATGCACACACACACATAGAGAGAGAGAGAACTCCTCAATATACACACACTGAAAACACAATAATTTAAGGTCAACTTAATTGAATATACAAAGTATATTTATTATTATTTATAATTATTACAATCATTAGATTATTGAAGATAAGGAATAGCATGTTGAAACAAACCAAAAACCCAAACAAACAGAACATACGTATCTACACAAAATTATTGATTTTGTTACAATATTTTATTGATTATTAATATACTCAATACGTAATAGAATGGTTGTTTTTTTGTTTCTTTTGTATTATAGAATTGGGAAACAAAGATCATTTCAAAATAGACGAGTAATGTTGAATGAAACTAATGGCTTACATGAATATTTGAACTACTTGTTCCGGTCAAGTGATCTAGATATCTCAATAAAAGATCTATTTTCAGAATGTGTTTTGTGGAGATTTTTAGAAATTTCACAGATTGAAATCATGAATCAATTGAAGCTAGACCACTATGGAAAACCTGGAAGCACCGGACGGCTGTTTCGTCCTCGTATGAGACTCCTCAGCAGTGCGCATCCACGATCCCGCACCCCGCGGGACTCGAACCCAGGACCTACTGGTTTCGCGCGCGAGTACTTAACCATTAGACCACTGATCTATTTCATTGTTTGTTTGTCTCAATAGATTATTATGTCAATTCATTTTATAATGTATTCAGATAAGTTTCGGGAAAAATGTACAATTTTTCATTGTACAAGTTATAAAAGAGCCCAATTCGAGATATTGTGATTTTTGGTAATATGCGACGAAAAGAATGTCTATTATTTAGATATCAATTCTTGAATTGCTAATATCTAATTGGCAATCAATCAATATATAATACTTGAATTCATGAGTCAATTGAATATAGACCACCATCGAAAACCTGGAACTATTGGATAGCCGTTTTGTTCTAGTATGTAACTTCTCAGTAGTACGTATGGACGATCCAGATCGCGACCTATCGATCTCACACGCGTACACTTAACCTTTAGACCAATAAGCCATCACCAATGTACGAAATTGTGCCACTGTTTATCATTGTGTTCAGTGAGTTACTATGTCACACCAGACCTGGTTGAACTCCACTCAAGGAAATACCTCTTGAAGCTAATCATTGCTGAAGAGTCTCTTTTCAGGTTTTCTATGGTGCTCTACATCCAATTGACTCATGAATTTAACTATTAAATTGTTAAAAACTACCATTTTTAAGATATTCCTCAATCTATTGGTTACAGTCTCTCATATTCACAGTCACGTTTTTAGCTTGATCTTATAGAAACATTATGCCCTATTTTTTGATATGATATAGTCTGTTTGACTGGTATAATATAAAAACTAAATATGTTTGAAATAAATGATTCGTAATAGTAAAATTTGGTATTCGTGTTCTCAACTTCAACTGAAAGAAGGATTAAAAGAACAAAAGACCAATAATGATTCTAGGCTATTCATACCGATGGAATATCATTGGTTTGGCATAGTACTAACATTGTATAAGTTATATTTGGATTGGTCAATAAACCGATCTAAAAGATATTACAGTAATTCAATAAGAAAACACATTCTATATATGTATATGTATATTCAAAGAATCTTATGATTTCAACAATATGACTTCATAGATTTGAATTATTCTTCTTGGTGTATGACAGATATCTCAATAAATATACATTGATAGATGTTTGTTTTTGATCAAAGCTTCATCAATATGTATTCTCAATTATGAAATTGTACTTATAGAGTCAAATCAAAGATAATAAAGATTACAGTCATGAGTGTAAGTTTGATAATGTAATTATTAGAAAGTCGTAAGCTTAATACTACACAGAGATTTGGGTGAAAACTGTTTAGGAATGACAGCCCTAATAAACAATTTAAGATGATTTCAAAGGTAGTTTTTGATCAGTTTTAACTCGAAAAATAATGTACACAGAATATATGAATTATAACTAGCTGTGGAATCTAGGATCCGGGTTTTATCCTATTCGGAACTTTTAATTTCAGTGTACCTACATCCTAAAGCTGATATTCACTTGGGGACTAGAACTTAATGCCTTCAAACGCTAACACATTATCCACTTAGCTACTAAATCGTGATTAGCCAATAGCTAATGCAGTTATGCGGATTGTTTTATTCATTTTTATTAGTTGTTTCAATCTATACATTGACCATTTAGGATTTCAATAAATCAGTTTCTGTTGGCATATAGGCACTTTGTATAGTTTACTTGGATATATCCATTATTGTTCAAATTTACTTCCTTACGCCTGTTACTCCTCGTGGAGTAGCATAGGCTATTCACAAGAACTCTCCATCCAACACTGTCCTAGACAATCCTTCCCACTTGCTATTCACACTCTTCATCTCTCCTTACAATTACATGAGCAGTGTATTCTTCTGCATTCCTCTTTTCCATTTCCCTCTGCATCCCACCTTAGGGCTTGCCTCGTGATGCACTTTCATGATTTCCTCAATATGTGTCATATATGCACTTCCAACGTCTTTTGCTAATTTACTCTTCAGCTGCGAGTTGGTTTGTTCTCCTCCACAGTAGGCTCTTACTGATGGTGTCCAGTCAACGAGTATTCAGTATCTTGTGTAGACAACTGTTTGTAAATACTTATGCCTTCTTGATGATGATTAATAAATTAGTCATTTTTGTAAATACTTGTACATTTTTGGTGATAATTGTAGTAGTTCTCCACGTTTCATCTCCGTACAACAGGACTGTCTTCAAGTTCGTATTGAACATTCTCACCTTGATATTGGTTGACAGACAGTTGTTTAGAGTTCCATATGTTCTTCAATTAAAGGAATGTGGCCCTTGTTTTGCCAATCTTCACCTTTATGTCTTCATCAGATTCTCCTTATTCATCGATGACGCTTCCTAGGTACATGAAAGATTTCACATCTTCCAGAATTTCCCCATCAAGTGTGATTGAGTTAATGTTCTCCGTTTTGTATTTTCATAGTTTAAGTGAAGAATCTTTATTATTATCTTTATTTTTACAGGATAAGCATTTCAATACTAACCGTGATATGTGCTACTGATATCGACAGATATTAGTAGTATATATCATCTATCGAAAGTGAAATATCTGGTGGCAAAAGGTTTAGCAGATCGAAGAAAAGAGAAAGAGAACAGTGAATGATTCGGGTAGAAACCATGAAACAATGAAGTTTAAGACGATTGATTGACATTTTGCAAATGAGTTATCTTACAAAGAAATTCTGTAATTTGTGTTCTCATTCGCTACATAACTAAAAAAACCTATTCGAACACCGATACCTTTCTCTGGAAAACAATAATAAGCAAACAACTTGGATAAATCCAATCTTTTTTTGTAGAAAATAGTCACTAGTATGCAATTTCAACGGAAATTTACTGAATATATTCATCTA